AGAAAAATTCAGGCAAAGCAGCAGGATCTCCGTGGCGACTATAAGGTGACGCACAGCGCACTCCTGTGGTGTTATGAAGTTACTGCAGCACATTTAGTCCCATTCCACATATTATATTTAGGGCTGAGCATTTCTCATTAAGGCCAGGTTTAACAATTTGTGAATCTTTATTGTTTGTTATCTTTTTGTTTTGTTTTTGTATTTTTTTTTTACTTTTATGGGGTGTTAACTGCTCACACATATCATTTTTAAATTACTTTCTATTGTTTTGAAAAAGCTATAATCACTGAAAACTAAGTCTCTCCCTCTTCAGAATGCTTTCACAACACAATTAGCGTGCATTCTGCTTCTGAAACTACTGCACATCGTATCAGGTTTGTCAAGTTACTGTGTACAGTTTTGTATCTTGTTTTAGTATATTTATGGAGAATTGCCCTGTGGGAGCATGGCTGACGTAGGCTTGTGAGCGGAGCATTGCACAAAATCTTACAGCAAGAAGGAGGATTCGAATAAAGCCCAGGAGAGGTCGCTAGATTAGGCTACTCAAACAGGCAAGGATGACTTCTATAACCTCTTCAGGCATGCTTTTGATGATGGTATAACATGATAGAAAGCTAAAAAAAAAATTTCAAAAAGTACTTTTTAACAATTGCTGTTTAAGACAAATAGTCAATTCTAGTCAAATTCCGTCAGTCTTCCATCTGCTCCAAATCACATGCTTTAACAACAGAAGATTAGATATAGATTATAAAAAAAAAAAAAAAAAAGATGATCAGTGACCATTAGAAACCACTGGATATTGATTCTATTGCTACTTTGCACAATGGGGGTGTACAGTCTGGAACTCAAGAAATTTTTTTTTTTAATTTAAACAGCACTTTTAAACACAAATCAGCTCACCTGTATATCAGTTCTTTCTAGTCAGATTGAGTTAAAACAAAGTTCATATTAAAGTCTAACTTGAATAACAATGCTTCTGACAGAACAGCGCCTCGAGTTAGCATCACCGAGGGTGTGATGTTGATGACATTATATGCAAAGTATTAATTAAATGTTAACATGCATGTGACAGGTTAGAATATGCCTTTCATTAAAACATGTTTATTATTGTTAATAAGATTAATATTTTACTTTCTGGTTGGACATGGGGAGCTGCTGTGACATATGTAGAGGTAATTCCGTTTTGCCTAAATTACACAATAGTTGTGATTAGACTAATACAAATAAACACCTTTATTTTGTTATGGAAGTTTAATCTGCCTTGTGAAAAACTTTACCTGGCAAATCTAGACTGATGTGTATGCATTTTTTATACAGAGAGACATCAGTTTGGTCCCCACTTCCTATGTTGCGTCTCAAATCAGAATATGATTGTCCAATCGTATTTGTTTATTTCAGTGGCACATATGAAACAAAGGAGCTCATTACTCATTATTCTAAATGTTAGATCTTTGGCCAATAAATCTTTTATAATTAATGACATGATTGTTGATCATCCTCTAGATTGTATGTTTTTAACAGAGACATGGACAGGCACAGATGGAGCTGTAACTTTAAACGAAACCACACCTCCTAACTATAGTTACACATATTCCTCTTGCCTCAATAAAAGAGGTGGTGGCACAGCTGCAATCTTCTCTGCCAAATATAATTTAAAAAATATTCACTTTAATCAGTATCCTTCATTTGAGCATCACTCCCTGGCCTTAACCAATCCCTCCATTCTCTTTATATGTATTTACCGCCCACCTAAACATTCCTCTTCTTTTTTGGCAGACTTCTCAGACCTCCTGTCCATTGCTCATTCAAATTATGATAGAATTATAATTGTAGGTGATTTTCATTTACACATTGATGTCAAATCAGACTCACTAGCAACAGAGTTTTTAAAAAAATTTAAACTGTATGAATTTTAAGCAAAATGTTTCACATCCCACCCACAACAGAGGCCATATATTAGATTTAGTAATTTCATATGGAATATCAGTAGACATTGCCTCTGTTGTGGACGTGGGCTTTTCAGACCATGCCTGTATATTTTTTACAATTTTTATTAACTAGTGAGCAACCCCCCATATCTGAATGCACGGTCAGAAAATGCTGTATTACTGCTGAAGTTATGACAAACTTTACAGAAATATTGAATGACACTCCAACTCCTATTTTATCCTCGTGCGATCTTACTGTTGAATATTTTAATAGTAAGCTAAAATCTGCGCTTGATGCTGTAGCACCGCTAAAAGTCAAAACTGTGAAGACAAAAAAGTCCCCTTGGAAAAATGAAAAAACAAGACAACTAAAGCAAAATTGTAGGAAAGCTGAAAGAAAATGGCGCAAGAATAAAATTACTATAAATTATGAAATTTACCATGAGCAGATGAGAAAATACAACAATGCCGTGAAATGTGAAAGACAAGCATATCTCTCTCAGCTCATACGTAACAACATTAATAATCCCAGGTTTCTGTTTTCCACAGTTAGCTCTGTTATTGACCCTGTTCATACTAGGAATGAGCCATCAAACATCCCAAACTGTGAGGACTTTTTGACCTACTTCAGCAATAAAATACAGTCAATTAGAGCTGACCTGCAACAGATCCAACCAGGCAATGCCTGTAATACAAGTCCTTTGGTTTTATCAAATACACTTGAGAGTTTTGCCCTGGTTGATGCTACAACTCTTAACAAAATAATTTTTCAATTGAAACCAACCACTTATTTTTTAGATGCTATTCTTACATCACTTTTTAAATCAGTTTTTAATTTTTTTGCCCAAGAACTTCTTAGTATTGTAAATCTCTCACTGCAGACAGGGGTTTTTCCTACAGCACTTAAAACTGCCATGGTCAAACCTCTGCTCAAAAAGGATAACTTGGACTCCTCCCGATTCAGTAATTACAGACCTGTCTCAAATCCGCCGTTTTTAAGCAAAATTTTTGAGAAAATTGTTTTTAACCAGGTCAATGATTTTATGATCTCCAGCAATATTTTTTGAAATGTATCAATCTGGTTTTAGAGTTCAGCACAGCACAGAGACTGCATTAGTAAAGATCGTAGATGATATAAGCATGGACAAGAAGAACCTGTCAGTCCTGGTGCTGTTGGATCTCACGGCAGCATTTGACACTGTAGACCACTGTATTTTATTAGATAGATTGCATTATACAGTTGGTCTCTCTGGGTCTGTTTTTAACTGGTTCAAATCGTTTTTAACAAATAGGGATTTTTATGTTAGTCTTGGGGAACACTCCTCCGCAAAATGTAAAATGGAGTGTGGTGTTCCCCAAGGCTCAATTTTAGGTCCAACCCTTTTTAATCTGTACATGCTGCCACTAGGACAGGTCATCAGGAGACACGGTGTTAACTTTCATAGCTACGCTGATGATACCCAGCTCTATATCGCCGTGTCTCCTGATGACCTAAGCCCGATCGACACCCTTTTTAACTGCATTTTAGATATTAAGTCCTGGATGGCAGCAAACTTCCTCCAGCTCAACCAGGGCAAAACTGAGGTTTTAAATATTGGTCCTGAAGCTCAGATAGAGAGGCTCAAATCAATGCTCCAAACCTACTCACTGAACCCCTGTGAGAGGGTAAAAGGTTTAGGAGTTATTCTTGATACTGAGCTTAGCTTTGAGCCACACATCAGGTCCATCACTAAATCTGTTTTTATCATCTAAAAAATATTGCCAGAGTCAGACCATTTCTCTCTCAAGCCAGTGCAGAGACTTTAATACATGCTTTTAGCACAAACCGTGTTGATTATTGTAATGCTCTCCTTTCTGGTCTTCCAAAGAAAACTACAGCTCCACTACAGCTCCTCCAAAACTCTGCAGCACGACTGCTGACGAGGACCAGGAAGAGAGAGCACATCACCCCAGTACTGAAGTCTCTGCACTGGCGTCTTGTGAGCTTCAGGATAGATTTTAAAGTTCTTTTATTGGTTTATAAAGCTCTTAATGGTCTTAGTCCTATTTATTTATCTGATCTGCTTTTATCATATGAGCCTCTCGGACTCTCAGGTCCTCAGGTAGTCTTCTTTTAACTGTCCCAAGAGTCCAAACTAAAACCCACGGTGAGGCGTCATTCAGCTTTTACGGCCCCTGTTTGTGGAACAGTCTACCTGAGGATCTCAGGTCCGCTGCGAGTGTTCATATTTTAAAAGTAAACTCAAAATGTTTCTTTTTAATTTAGCTTTTAATTGAAACTTTTACTTGTTTTATCATTATTATTAATATTATTATTTGCTTTTAATTAAATTACCATTCATATTTTATTTAGTCTCCATCTGTTTTTAGCTCTCCATTTATATATTTACTATAACCTTTAGGAGCTTTATGTTTATGTTTTATTGTTGTATATATGCATGAAATAATGGGGTGGGGGGGTTGCTGTTATTTTTAATATTGTAATTTTTTCTGTTGCATGTGAAGCACTTTGTGCTACATTTCAAATGTATGAAAAGTGCTATACAAATAAAGTTTGATTGACTGATTGATTGATTAGTCACCCAACATTTACAAACAAATTCAAATTTAGAACAGAATTTAGTGCTTCACTCTTTGACTCCATAGCAGCCATATTTCTTTTGCTACGGATGGACCATGCATGTCCCTGATTGGTTAATCCACCTGTCAATCACACCCATCTGAACTCGGGATGATTCTCTTCCGAAAGTATTAAAGAAGTGTGTATTCTGGAGCTCAGGTAAGTTATATTTATTTATTTTATTTAATGAGACAGGGACAGTCCACAATTTTTGCATTTACCTTAACAGAAGAGATGCATTGTACGTCAGGTTGTAGCATCAGTGCTCATTTCCACCTGTAGTCCCTGGGCAGGTTCATTGATTGATTGTATTTAACTGACCTTGACTATCAACTGTTCTTCCTGGAGACCTATGTAGCATGTTTTGGGTTGTCCATTTCATATCCATTTAAATAGTAAATACTTATATTACATCTTGATTCTTCCAGAAATTGTACATTGAGAAATTAGAGTTTGGATGAAAAATGTTTATTTACTAAAAAACACAAAAATATGAAATTTTTACACAGTTGTGATTTTCTTTCACAAATTTTTAACTCTCAAATACTGGACAGCAATGGTATAAGGCACTTCAAATGTGAGGAATTAGTTTGAATTTAAATGTTAAAAGATATTTACAAAGTTAATCCTGGCACTAAAAACGGTGATTAAATTGAGTCAAAATGAAAAAATACATTCCCTTAAATAACCTTCACTGTGAGTTTCAGTGTCACAAAAATAACTCGTAAACATTCACTTAACTGTAAAATGTTATTGATACTTTGTAGTGACATCACACTGGGGGTGTTCTACATGTTTCCACTGTGATACAATGCATACATTAGCACTGTACTCAAGAAGAAAATTCTCAAATGGATTTTCAGGAGCCTGTAACAGTGTTCATGATCCTGTTTAGGAGTTTGATTTTTGACTGGTGAGAAAGACTAACTGAAAAACTGTTAGCTAATACCAGCATTGTGACTACAATGTTATTTGTAAGGGCCTTATTTAACAACACAAATCAGCTTGGCTGTTGTAGTTCTTTCTGGTCATACTGTGTTAAAACAAATATTAGATTAAAGTCTTAGACAGAGCAGTGCCTCCTGTTAGCATCACACCCCCAAGGAATGTTGATGACATCAGCTGCAAAGTATCAATAAGACTTTTGCTTTTATCACATTTAAAACAAAACACAAAAATGTCCTGAAACTTTCCACTTTAAAAACACAGTGTTGTCTCAGTTAGGCAGTTTAGTGCACTGATCTGTGGTCCTGGTCTAATTCTGGTTCAGTCCTTGGTTTTGTCCTGGTTCAGTCCTGGTTTAGTCCCTGCTTTAGTGCAGGTTTAGTTGCATTTATAGTCTCTTGTTTAGTCCTGGTGTAATCCCTGCTCTAATCTCAGTTTAGTCCTGGTTCAGTCCCTGGTTTAGTTCAGAGTTAGTCCTGGTTTAGTCCTAGTTCAGTTCTGGTTAAGTCCTGATTTAGTCACGATTTAGTGCTGGTTCAGTCTTGCTTTAGTCCTGGTTTAATCTTGGTTTAGTTCCTGGTTCTTCCTCTCTTGCCATTGCTTTTCTCTGTGGGTGAGTTCAGCTTCAGAAATTGCAGCAGGACCCCAGTTGGTCACCAGAAGAGGACCCTTAGAGCCTGAAAAACAGAAAGTCCTGGTTTAGGCCTATCAGTAGTAGTAGTAGTAGTAGTAGTAGTAGTAGTAGTAGTAGTAGTAGTAGTAGTAGTAGTAGTAGTAGTATCCACATAGATGCATATCTTCAGTTTTTGTGACACTGAAAAAAATATTTTTTCTTATATCATGGCTTAAAGGAAAAGTGTTCATGCTATAACTAACCATTTATTATGAGAAAAGCTGCAGTCAGATTTGGCATCCGTCAAAAAGAGAATCCAAATGGAATCAGCAACACTGTGGCACCATTATTCATAATACTTGTGGCCATCAGCCCCAAGCTGTACCACATTATCTCAGTCCAGGGTTAGTGTGACCATGTGAACAAAAGTAAAAGTACAATGCGCAGTACCTGGCTGTATGAGGCGCTGCATTCCCTCGTATATTTGTAACAGTAGTATTTGTAGCAGTAGTGGTATCTGTTGTAGTAGTAGTATTGCAATACCTGGCTATATAAGGCATTCCCTTGTGTATTTGTAGCAGTAGAATTAGTACTGGTATTAGTAGTAGTAGTAGCGGTATTTGCAGTACCTGGCTGTATGAGGCGTAACATTCCTTCATGTTCAGCCACTTTGTGTTTCCAGGTCCTGGTGTTGTTTGTGGCGTTCTCCAGTTTCTTCATCACGTTCTGGAAACAAATACATTTGTATGAGAGTCTGAAAATATAAACACAACAAAAGACATCATACAGGCTTCTATAATTTCTACGGCTCGGCTCCTGCACTACAGGAATCCATACCTCCATATGCTATCCCATTCCCTCCTCTCTCCCTGTGGTCATACCTGGTACTGCTCCAGTGCTCCCTGCCTCTCGTTTTCTAGCTCCTCTAGCTGTTTCATGGCCTCTCGAAGTGCAGCCTCTTTGGCCTCTCTCTCCTTCTGCAGCTCTTGATTCTCTGCCTCCGTCTCAGAGAGCGCCCTCTGCTGGTTCAGGTGGATCTGCTCCAGCTCCGCCCTCTTCACACACTCCTCCTCCAACAGTCTAAAAGAAATTGGAAGAAAACAGGTCTAATACAGGGTCTGAAACAGTGTCTGAACCAGGACTGAACCAGGTCTGAACCAGGACTAAACCAGAATTGAACCCAGACCCGGCATCAGGCACATGGAAGTGATAGTGCAGTTGTTTCTAAAACACCACATGATGACATTACAAAGTTGAGCATAGGCAGTGAGACCTGTGTTTGACCCAAAACCCATCTTCTTCTGGCTTTATCCCCACTGTCAGTAGAGGGCGCCCTAATCCTGCTCCTCTGGTTAGACCAGTCTAGTCCTCATTTATTCTTGGTCTAGTCTTGCTTTAGTCCTGGTGTTTTTCCTGGTTTAGTACTGGTTCCGATTAAATTCTAGTTCAGTCCTAGTTTAGACCTAGATTAGTCCTAGTTCAGTCCTGGTTCAGTCCTTAGTCCTGGTTTAGTCCTGATTCAGTTCTGGTTAGGTTCTGTGAGAGTCCAGAGAGTGACCAGGTTTTTAATGAGGTTCCCTATTCAGATCCGTAAACAAGAGCCAGGACCCAGCCAGGGACTAAACCAGGGCTAAGACATGACTAAGGAAGGACTAAACCAAGACTAAAACAGGATTAAAAAAGGAACTAAATCAGCTTTTATTTTGTAATAGTTATGTTTATTTGTGATTTCTTGCATATTTCTATCCTGCTGTTCTTAAATCCATTGAAAGACAAATAAAAGTTCTCTTATCTCTTATATTGTGAGTGCCCCCTGTTTTTTACAGTGCCTTTGCAGTAGCAGTACTAGTAGTAGTAGCAGTCTAATGTTTATTGTTTTATTAGGATTCCAATTACCTGCTCGTATGATGGCTGCTAATCTTCCTGGGGAAGATTCATAAAATGAATTACATTCACAATATTGTGAATAAAAACATATAGTAATAAGGGCAATGGCTGTGTTAATGATCAAAGAAAATGATAGTGAGGTTAGCTTTGAGACATGAGCTTATATTTAACTTCAGATGTCCGCACAGAGCAGGTCAGCTGATTTCAATGATTTATAATAGTAGTAGTAGTAGTAGTAGTAATAGTAGGAGTAGTATTATTAGTAGTAGTAGCATTAGTAGTAGTAGTAGAAGTAGTAGAAGTAGTAGTAGTAGTAGTAGTAGTAGTAGTAGTAGTAGTCGTAGTCTTAGCAGTAATAGTAGTAGTAGTAGCAGTAGTAGTACTGTTGTAGTAGTGATAATTGCAGTGGTAGTGACAGTACTAGCAGTACTTTAGAATAGAGTGAAGTATTGGTTTGATTGTGGTTGTTCTGCCACAGTAGCAGTAGTAGTGTTAGTAATCATAGTAGTAGTAGTGATAGTAGTACATTAGAATACACTGAAGTATTATTGTGATTGTGGATGTTTTGCAGCAGTAGCAGTACTAGTGGTACAAGCTGTAGAAGTGATAGAAGTTGTACTATTATTTGTTAGGTGTAGTAGTATATTAGAATTGTGTGAAGTATTAGTGGCAGTAGCAGTAGAGGGTAGAGTAGTAATCATAGTAGCAATAGTAGTAGTAGTAACAGCATTGATAGTGGCAGTTGTAGTGTATATGTAGTGTGTATTAGCACACAGTGAAATATCAGTGAAGTATTAGCTGATTGTGAAACATAGGAAGGAAGCTGAGAGGGAACTGCCCCAGTCTGAAATAGAAAGGTCCAACAAAAGACTGAACAAAGAGACTGGGACAATTATGTAAATGTACTACTGCAAAAACTACTGAAAAATAATACTGTAAATACTACTGTAAAAGTATTACTTTAGTACGACTGTTAAATACTACTGTAAATGTACTATGGGAAAAACAACTACTGTAAATATAAAAATATTACTATGAAGTACTACTGTGATACAGAAATAGCAATCAAAATGCTTATAGTTTAACGGAAAGAAACATGTTAATGAGCATAATACACAAGAATATGCCATTAAACAGGACTAAGCCAGGACTAAATCAGAATTAAACCAGGTCAAACCCAGGTCCAAAGCAGAATTAAAGCGTTACTGAACCAGGACTAAACAAGGTCTAAAACAAGACTAAACCAGTTCTAACCCAGGACTAAACCCTTTCTATACCTGGTCTAAACCTGGTCTAAGGACGTACCTGGCCTGTAGCCTCCTGACCTCCTCCTCTTCCTGTCTGGTCCTGCGCTCTTCCTCCAGAGCGCCCTCTAGTTGCTGGTACATGTCCTCCAACTCCTTCACTCTCTGAAGATACGTCTCCAACTCTTCAGACTTCTGCGCCATCTGCTGCTCCATCTGCTCTCGCACCTGGACCAGGAAATCAAAACATTAGCGCTCTTGGCTCACAGTAAGATGACCCCTGGTTTGACACCACTTGGGCCTTTCTGTGTGGAGTTTTGCATCATCTCCCTGTGTCTGTGTCATAAACTGTATAACTGAAGTGGAATAAGGGAGTGTGATGTCACACATAGTGTTCGGCTCTAGCCAAATAAAGCTCATCGAGGGTAGCAGTTATAATGGAAATTTGAGTGCAAAACCAAAGAGTCAGGAGCAAGGCTGTTGAAAGTAATGCCGCTTCCTCCTTACACTGCCGGTCTATGGTTTATCAGGGAGCGGGAGCATAGTGTTGCTATGCCCTGTAGCAGGAGCAACCTCTGTGAAAGAGGGAATTGGTCTGTTAATAATGCTCACATCTTGATTTACAAATGAAATACTGAAAAACGCAGCCCAAGATCACGCAGAGCATGTTAAAGTGAATATTTTAAGGCCAAATTGAAAAGCCTGACAGCAGCAGTTACAGACAGGGGTGACTATTACAAATCAACAGAAGTCAATTGCAAACAGTGCTTGAAAGAACTTTGTCCCCATCCTGTTTGGAATGTAAGGGTTTACATCATCAATCCAAACAACATCCACAATTGGTCAAATCCTCCAGCTAAGGTAGTCCTGATGAGGGACACTGACCAAATGACCACATGATCATGTCACAGTTCTTATACTTTATGACAAGCTGGTCGCAGGCAAGCAAAACAGCCTTGAAACTTGTTGAATCATTGTCTAAACATGCAGTTAAGATTCATGATAAGAACCCCTGACAGTATCACCACTGTCCTATTCTTTTCAGTTTTGAATATCTAACTGTATATACTAATATTTGTTGACTTTTCAAAATTCTTCATGGTGCTGCTCTTCCTCTGAAGGATTTTGACTTACTGAGCTCAAAATAAACATCTGGAGTAACATGCTCATCCTCCAGAGGAGAATGCACTGTCCTCAAATATAATGCAGCACTCACCAAATCAGCTTTTTCCTCTGTTGCTGAGTCATTGGAATCATTTGCCAATAGAGATTCGAACCTGCACATATTTTCAACTGTCTGCACATCTGACACTGAAGGATGGGTCAAATACTTCTCTTTTTTCTGGTTGCCCTCATATCTGTCCTGTATTAATTATAGCAGTAGCAGTAGCAGTAGTAGTAGTAGTAGTAGTAGTGTACCATCTTCTCTCTCTCCAGGTCACTCTTGTATCTCTCTTGTAGTTCGTTGTGTGTTTGGGCTCGTCTGCGCTCCTCCTCCGCTGCGTTGGCTGCTGCCTCCTCCAGCGCCTGAAATACACCAGAATACAGTGTGAACACACCATAAATACAATGTATAGTGTAATTTCCTTTTTGAGTTTAAAGTTTCAGACCTCTGAAGAGTCACCCCTATTCAGAGAAGGAATTATTTTTGAACAATAGAAACACCTGCAATGAATAAATGTTGGATGTACAGTATATATTTACATATCATATATTTACATATCCATGGAGACAAGCAGGTAGCGGACCATCACGCTATTCAAAAACTTTACTTCGAAACAGACCAATCACAGTAGATCGTCCCTCCAGACATGACATTCTAGCCGTAACCTTGGAGTTTTTGTTTTGTACAGTTTTCTCTTTGTATCAGGCTCTGAGTATCAGGAAGAATGAGCCCAGTGCTGTCTATGGAACAAGACAACTATGGAGAGAGTGGAGACGAAACACACACAGCTCTGTTTGTTTACAACAGACACCCCCCCTTCTCTCTCCCCTCTTTCTCATTCACTCTCTTCTCTAGGTCTCTCCCCCTCTCTCTGTCTTTTTTTCCCAGTTTTCTAATTCTCCTTTCTGCCTCTCCAGTTTTCTCTGTCTCTCACTCTCTCCTCTCTGTCTGTTTCCCTCTCTCTCCTCTCTTTTCTCTCTCTCCTCTCCGTCTCTCCCTCTCTATCTCTTTCACTCTGTCTCACTCTCTCCACTCTTCCACTATCTTCTGTACAGGTTATGAATGAGGGTTCTGTACTCTTGTGTGGTGTTCCCCTCTCTCCTCTCCCCTCCTCTTTTTCTCCCTCTCTTCACACTTCTCTCTGTACTGTCCTCATGTTCTGCCCCTGTAGACACACTCTGTCTGTGGCTGTTGTAATGTGCTTGTAAACCTGAGTTACACATTGTTTTGTCATAGATTATAAAGTGCCAGTTTTTCCAGTTCCTCCAGAAACTTTTAAAAATTTCTGTCTGCCTGTGTCTGTGTGTTAATGTTTCTGTCTGTGTGTGTGTTTGTATCTGATCAACACAAACGTCACACTCAGATGCAGAGATAATAATTAGCTACAGAGCAAGAGCAAGTCTGACCCAGATGTGTTAATCAATTGATAAAACAACCAAATAATAGAATGTGTACCCCATGACCAGTTCTGACCAATCAGAACTACTGAAGCTGGGGCACAGCAGGGCAGTTTTTAAGAGCTTAGCCTAACAGCCTAACAGCCTAATTTCTTGTCATTAGTTTTACACAGTACATTCTGATCACACTCTGTAATACTCATACACATACATGCTCTCCACCAGGGTCCAAATCTTTTTCACAGAGGGTCAAACGAACTAGCTCAGAGCCACAGATGGGGGTCAGTTCAGTGAGTCATTCAGATAGTGCATAATTAATAGATGGTAGATAATTAACTGAACAAACTTCTGCACCGAAACAGGAAATAATTCACAAGCAGCTCAAAATCCTTCAGTCGTTTCAAAAACAAGCTTTTTTATCTTTACTTTCAGTTAGTTGCAATGACATGATAGACCACACAGTCACCAGATGTACCTCACACTACTGAACTTAAAGGGCCCATACTGCGTCATTTTCTGCTCTATGTTATAATGTTATTTCTTCATCACAAACATACCTGGAGTTGTGTTTTGTTTCATTCACACGTTTAACACACAAATCCTGCATATTTAGACTGAGTTCTTCTCTTAAACAGGAAAAAAATGCGTTCCACCTTGTGATGTCATGTGTAATACAGGAAGTGCTCAAGTGTGTTTTTAAACTCCATACACCTTCACTAGAATAATTTGGACCATTTCAGCTCTGGGATTGCTTGTCTACAATCCAAAAGGTAAAAGGCAGCTTAACTTGAACACTACCACCAGGTTTTATACATCCTGGGTTTAATCTTGTTAGCTATGTTAGTCCTGTGTTAGCTCAGTGTTAGCTTTGTGTTAGCGTATTTGGCTAGGGTGATTAGACATCCCTATTTACCTGGGGCAGTCCCAGTTTTGAGCCCTGTGTCCCCTGTCCCAGCAGATTTGTCAAAAAACAGTTTTATACAAGAAATGTCCCAGATGTCCCTATTTTTGACCAATTCTAAACCAGGACTAAACTAAGACTAAACCAGGACTACATCAGGTCTAAACCAGGACTAAAACAGGACTATCACAATTTTTGACTAATCTGATCCCTGCCAACAGTAAAGAAGAGCATAAATTGTCACTTGTTTAGCTAAAATACAGGAAACCGTGTTTGCGAATGACCATAAAGCAAAAAAAAAAAAAAAATACAGGTCATGACTAGACACAAGAATGTATAATCTTACTCTTTTCACAGTTTTATTTATACCAACCATCCCAACTCAAGTGTGTCACTTCTATCTATCTTTATCTCGTACCTTCCTCATATTCTCCAGCTCTCTCTGTTTTGCCTCGTTGGCTGTCTGTAGCTGGCTCATCCTCTGCTCCAGCTCCAACTGCTCCAACTGCAGCCTCATCCTCTGCTCCCTCCTCCTCATCCTCGCCTCGCGGTGAGGAGCAGGTCTGTGCTGACGGAGCAACGAAACTACCATCTGGATCGCTACAACATAGGAGAAAGGAGAAGAAAGAGTCAGAGAAGCACAGGAGCAGAGGAGAGGAGGAACAGAGGTGCGGAGGATAGTTAGATGGTGCAGAGGTGCAGAGGAGAGGGTCAGAAGAGCAGATGGACCAGAGGATGGTTAAAGGATACAGAGGAGGAGCAGAGGAGGAGCAGAGGAGGAGTAGAGGAGGAGTAGAGGAGGAGTAGAGGTGCAGATGTGCAGAGAAGAGGGTCAGATGAAGCTGAGTATGGTCAGAGTTTAGTTAGGTAAAGAGGATGAGCAGAGATACAGAGGAGGGTGCAGAGGATGTACCTTGGATCCACTCCTGTTTCTTCTTCTTGTCTGAGGCGCTGATCTCAAAACTTTTCTGAGACGATTTCACCAGAAGCAGACATTTTTTCCCCTCTTTGTCAGGAAGAGACTGGAGACAAATATCAAATACATCAGAACACAATAAAAGGTCATTTGTCCACCAACAGTCAGCAGGTTGATTTCTAACCACCGAATACTGTTTTCGTATCATTTTGCAAGACACTTCCCCATCACGTGTGAGAGTCAGCATAGATATTAACTGAATAAGGTGTTGTCATTTTCAGGACCACAGTGCCTTCTGCAGTACTAGTAGTAGTAGTTGTTGTAGTAGTAGTAACCATAGGATTTATGCAGTTGTAGTATTCGTACCTCGACAAAGCAGTTGGGGTCCAGTATGATGTCTCCCTTCTTGTCACTCTTGTCCTCTCCTGTGTAATACGACACGCAGTCTGGTCTGAGCACAAACCAGCGCTCTGTCCAGTTCTTCCTCTTGTGCCCCTTCTTTAGCAGGAAACCCTGAGAAATATAGAGACTTAGGTTAGAGCGGGGTTAGTCCAGGAACCAAAAACTAGGAACTAGGGACCAGAGAAAACAGGTTTAGAATAGAGACCATCTGACATGTGGTGTAGCTCACATTTATACCAGGTTTAGACCACAGAGAACAGAGACCAGTGATCAGGACCAGAGAGTCCTGCTTTAGTCCTGGTTAAGACCTGTTTTAATCCAGTTTTAGTGCTGGTTAAATACTGTTTTAATCATGATTTAGTCCTGGTTTTACTCCTGGTGTAGTCCCAATGTAGTACCTGCTTTAACACGTCTAAGATGAGCTCCTGGTACACCTCGTTGATGCCCATGGACAGTGTGTGTCTGTGGATGTTCTTGAAGAGTCCAGCCCCCATGAGTCCGAGCAGCTCCCAGACGCTGAGCTCGTTCCCGGATCTGGTCCAGGTTTGGTCCAGGCCCTGTTCCACCCACGACCCTCCCATGGCCTCACACAGTTTACGCAGCAGGTACTCCATCTGAGAAACAAGAACAATATGACAGGTTAGACTCATTTCACTACAGTTAAAATGCCACTGAAAATCTTGCCAATGTCATCAGTATTTCCTATTGGTGTGATAATAAATGTAGGATCTGCTCTGTCTGAAGCTCTGTTACTCCAGTTAGACTTTAATCTAAGATTCATTTTAACACAATCTTACCATAAAGAACTGACTTATTTGCAACTATAGTTGAGCTGACTTGTGCTGTTAAACAAATCCCTCTCAAATGATGCACTATACAAACATACAAACATTATCCCAACCTGGCTAGCATTAGCCAACAGTTTTTCAGTTAGTCATTCTCATCTATTAGTAACTAGACCCAAGAACTCACTACATTACAACAGAAGTCTTCTCCTGTAATCTGTATTAAATGATACTGGCCTATAGAATGTTGTGATGTCATCTGAAACACAGCAATTAATATTTAACATTTTCAGATTTTCCTCCTTCCTGGTTTTATGATTCACCCGCAGTCCCTTCTTCCTCTCATTCCTCGGACACAGAGCACTTCCGTGTCTTTGGTTGATGATTGAGTGGAGTTAGATTCCGGTCTGAGTCTAGTGTTTGCTCAAGAGCACAGAGGAAGTGAGCTGCTTCCTGTTTCAGATGGAACTTTATTTAAAACAGGAACAGACAGGAACTGAGTCAGGACTGAGTGGACAGGGATCAGTGTAAGCCAGACACACAGTGTGATTACATGTAAAGGGTGTTTGACAGCTCTTCATTGTTTTTGAGCCCAAGTCTGATGTTATTGCCCTGGTCTCCTCAGATAGGCTGAGGGAGGACTAGTTGTAGTGGATTCTTCTACATGTTATAGGAGGAAAATAAGGCTATCTGCCCACAATTCACTGTGACTGGTTAAATCCACCTATCACTCACACAGACTTCACAGTGACTGTCCACCTCTGGTTATGAAAGTAAATCTCCCCTTCATTTTCCCAGACTTTCAGAAAAGAAAAGCTGAGCTCTGAGGTAACTAATGACCACAGGACATTTTTACTGACTTATTAAGACATTGACTTATTTCATTTCACTGAATCTTATGTTTTAAAAGTGCTTCATGGACTTAAGATGTGTGAAGAATTCCTCAGTCGTCCAGGTAGAATCCATGGCGAGGAGAAAATTCTGTTTGTCGACGGGACAAAAGTTAGTTTGGTTGAAGACGTTTCGCAGCTTATCCAAGTTGCTTCTTCAGTTCTGGTCAGAATGCTGGTGGACACTTCCTTATATCTGTCTGCAGGAAGGAGCTAACTAACTACTCTGAAACTAACACACCTACTTGCTTACAGTTTATGTTAGTTAGTTAGGCCTATTGACCTGTACTGGGAGTGGGGGTCTAATTAGCATAACAATTCAGGGCCATAATGGTGCTCCCTCACCTCTGGACCTGACCTGCTACACCTGTTGTTCTCTTGTTTGTTTTGAATTAGGTTTGAGGATGGAGTTATAAATAGGAGATAGGTGGTGTCTGAGGCCTCCATTTCTGTTTAGAGAAGGATTCTCTTTCTTAACAAAAATGGCTTCTTTCAATCCCTTCTCAGACCAATTATTTTCTCTGGCTAAAATCTGTACCTCACTGTCCTCAAATGAGTGGCCCGAGGCTTTTAAGTGGAGATGTATGGCAGACTGAGGTCTACTACTGCTCTCTCGTCTGTGTGAGAGGTGGTGAGGTGAGGGGGCACCCATTATGGTCCTGAATTGTTATGCTAATTATACCCCACTCCCAGTAGCAAGTAGGTGTGTTAGTTTCAGAGTAGTTAGTTAGCTCCTTCCTGCAGACAGATAGGAAGGAAGTGTCCACCAGCATTCTGACCAGAACTGAAGAAGCAGCTTGGATGAGCTGCGAAACGTCTTCAACCAAACTAACTTTTGTCCCGTCGACAAACTGAATTTTCTCCTCACCATTTTGGACTTAAAACAAACATGTTAGTTAGTTGGATATTAGTTAGCACATAGCTGATTGGGCTCCAGGATGCCTCTGGACTCTGAATATTTGAATTCTGTGGGAAGTCTGTGGGAAAAATAATTTAAGAATTTTCCTCCAGAGCCAGAGCAGACTTGGAAGTGGGTGGGACTGTGGATCTCCTTAGGGAGAGAGGGTGTGTGCATGTCTGTCTTTGAGCAGAAATGGATTTAACAGAGGTACAGCTCTAGTTGGCAATGTTAGGAACATTCCAGTATATGGCATTATAGATCACTCTCCACGGAGACAAGCAGGTAACACACCCAGGCCAATTTGTAGGTTTCAAGCAATCATGTGTGAATAACATGTTTGTTTTTCTATATATTTTTTATATTGTGTAATTTCTGTCCTCTTCAATGACAATGACCAATGTGTATGGATTTTCACATAGGTTTATGTTGGTTTAATTGTGTATATGTGTGTGTGTGTGTGCATGCATGCGTGTGCATGTGTATGTGTGATATTTGTGTTACCTCTTCACTGACGATGATGAGTGGATACCGATCTTCACTGAGGAAGTTGAAGATGCACCAGAGTCTGAAGGCATCATCCTCTGAGATCTGCAGTTTTATCTTGTCAAGGTTCTTCTTACAGCAGAGAGTCCAGCACATGTGGTAGAAGTCTACCTTATCAAAGTCCCCTTTAACCTGAAATACAACACAAAAATGAAAGTATCAATTTTTTATCCCATATATATAAGAAGAATGTGTCTTGCTCAAAGACTGTGTAAAGAAGTGGACTCAGTGAGTGTGACGTTCAGCTCCAGTCAAATGAAACTCACAAGGCTAGTAATTACAGGAGCTAATTTGGAGCCAATTCCATATTAGGAATAGGAATTTATTTACTGACAAGATACAAAATAAAAACTCCAGGATCATGTTGAGTGGGTTAATACAAACATGTTAAGGCCAAAATGACAAGGCTAACGGCAGCAGTTACAGACAAAGGGTTGACAATTTTTCAATGTAAAGTCAATTGGACCCAGAGTTGGTGGAGCCGGAAACGCCTCCGTGAACACTTTCTATTTAGAACATGGTGGCTAGTGGGTTAGATCTGTCCATTTAGTCTATGGTCTTGTCCCAGTACAGATATATTGTAAAAATAAGAGATAAATATACAACCACTGTGCACTGTGTGCATCTAATTGTAAACTGTTTCATTGTCAATGAATCAGCAAGTGTGCATTAGCATGCTAGTTGTTGTTAGCATTACCATCACAGCAAAGCTGGTCTCTGAAAGTTGTGAAAAGCGCTTATAAACTGAATAATGTGTGTTGTGAATGCATAAGGTACATGAAGAATAATTTGGACCACTGCAACCCATTTAAAATGAACTAGTTCTGTTTTTCAGTGTTTTAAGACAGTAAAAAAAAAGTACAACATAAATCAGATCAGATGTGTAATGATCACAGTAAGTATAGAAAAGTGGGCAGGGATAAGGGGTAGGTGAAAGCAGACATTTTCTGAGCATGCAGGCCTCAAATACAAACACAGGATTATTCAAACATGTGAATGAATGTAAACTCAGCTCAGAGTGAGGTCATGATTAGGACAAACTGGTGTAAATTTTGTAATCTTGCTATCCCTTTAAGTCCTGCTGTTTGAGTGTGAATGTTCCTGGTTGTTTTTGTGGCGTTCTTTCTCTGGTCTCCATGGTAACGTCCCTGAGTCTCTCTCCTAAAACACAAACTCTCACGCAACTTCAAATCCCCTTCTATCTGTAATAAGCAGTCTAGGTTTGTCAAAAGCAAATCAGATACTAACTGATACTAAAACTAGTATGGAAACTAGATACTCATTTAAACAGGTATCAATACTAAAAACAGTCACATTCATAGAGATATTATTGTTTGCCTACAATGTTCCACAGTATGGCTTAAGCATAATGCATTTTAAGGTATTTTTGAGCAATAAGAAAACTCTAATTAAATAACTGTAAGATACATCAACTTAATGCCATACTCTGGAGCACTGTAGGAAAATATAAATGAAATCTCCATGGAGACAAGCCACCAGAAAATGACATAGTGCACCTTTAAGCCATTTAAAATCATTCTATTCTTACTTGAATCATTTTTTTAAAGAAACTACACTTTTCTAGTGGCATACTTGAGTAATATGTTGTACAGTGTAACAGTTGTGGTTACTCTTCCCACTGCCAGTAACTCTACAAGTGACCAAAGTTTTGTCTTGACATTTTATCTTTCTTGCGCCACTCCTTAAGATATTATTTAGTTTACCTAATTTTGTGTCTGTCCTTTGAAAATACCATATTTTGTGCATCATTTAATGTTTTGTCCATCAGATTTGATTGTTTCTGAAGTTAATGTAACTTCAATACTAATCAAATCATACGTTATGTCTCGACAGTTATCCAGTGAGTAGTACTTCTCCAAAATACATTTTTACTCTTAGATGAGTACATTCTTGGACCACTACTTACTTCTGCTTGAGTAATATTATTTTGAAGTAACGTTATTCTTACTTCAGTACAATAGTGGTTAATCATGGTTGTTATTATTAGTAGTAGTTTCATTAGCAGTTATTAGATGTGAGTTTCCTTGTTTGCTCCGGATGTAACCCTGTGGTGTTGTGGTTTCCTTCACTTTTATGGTCAGAAGTAGACATTAGTCACAGATGCAGTAACTTTAAAGTACTGTGTAGTAACTGTGTAATTGTCCTGTAGTACTTCTGTGGCAATCTTGTATTTGACACAGTTGCTGTGATGAAGTAACTGTGATATAATGCAGTAACAGGAAACTCCATCTGAACTCCACCCTCAGTCTGGGTTTGCTCCAAGATACACTACATCTCTGCATCTGGAAATACTAGCAGTACTAGCAGCAGCAGCAGAAGCAGCAGTAGTAGTAATAGTAGTAGTAGTAGTAGTAGTAGTAGTCGTAGAAGTAGTATTAGTAGTACTTGAACACAAATACAAGAATGTGGTGAACGTCACAGATCTATAAATAACTCAGGAGTGTCCTCTGTGGTTATGAACAGCATTCCAGCAACTGATCAGACAGGTCTATCCTCCTCTGCTCCGCTGCCCCTCTCCTCTGCTCCTAGGACCCTCTACTCTGCTCCTCTCCTCTGCTCCTAGGACCCTCTTCTCTGCTCCTCTCCTCCTCTGCTCCTAGGACCCTCTTCTCTGCTCCTCTCCTCTGCTCCTAGGACCCTCTTCTCTGCCCCTCTCCTCTGCTCCTAGGACCCTCTTCTCTGCCCCTCTCCTCTGCTCCTAGGACCCTCTTCTCTGCCCCTCTCCTCTGCTCCTAGGACCCTCTTCTCTGCCCCTCTCCTCTGCTCCTAGGACCCTCTTCTCTGCTCCTCTCCTCTGCCCCTAGGAACCTCACCTCTGCTTCTCTGGCCTTCTCCTTTGCTCCTCTGCTCCTCTGACCCTTGCCTTTGCATGATCATTTGCCAGTTCTTGGTTAGTCACTGGAGCGTGTCAGTTTCGGCCCAGGTTTAGGTCACAGGTGCTCTTATTTTGAAAGGACCAGTGAAGCGTCAAATGTCATGGCTTCACTTCCTCTTTCTGTGAAAGACCTGAGTCAGACCCAAAACATGCAGAATCATCCTTCTCACATATTTAACCCAAAGAGACTGAAGAATGGGTTAAATGAAGGTATAATCCAGGGACACTGAAGGATGGGTTAAATAAAGGTTTGTATTTTTGTGGGCACAAGATTTGCCCTGTCAAGATAAAAACACACATTGTATCGGTCCATCTCAAAATAATACATAAAACATGTTTTTCTAGGTGCATATCATTTTGTGAGAGTCAAAAGAACACTGACGATTCTCTAGTGTCTGAAAACAAAACTCTTTCTCGACTTTGACACAAAATGTGTTAAATATTTCACCTTTAGTGATACCACAACACCACTGTCAAGGCCAGCTCTCTCTCCTCTGTTTGTCACTCTATAGCTCCTCTCTCTACATCCTTTCCTTCTTTCTCTCTCTCTGTCTCCCCTTCCATCTCTATTTCTCTTTATGCCTCTGTCTCTGTCTCTCAGCCTCTCCTCTCTATCTCCTCACTTGCTCCCTCTCTCTGTCTGTCACTCTTTATTTCCTTTTCTTTCCTCTCTCCTCCAGTCTCTCGCTTCCTGTCTATTTCCTTCAATCCACCTCACTCTCTCTATGTCATCTTTGATCTATCTATCTCTTTTTTCCACGTGGTCCACTTGCTCAATTTCTCTCCATCTCTCTCTCTTTATTCATACCAACTTTAAATTGTTTTTTTCTTTAAATCTCTGGGTTTCCATTCCTTGGTCACATGACCCGTCCTCACTCAGATCCTGGAAAAGTTCCAGAAAAAAACTTTAGTCTCATAAATAACAATAACAGAAGGAGCCTGAGTCACCAGAGTGATTGGTCCAGTGTGATACATCAGGATTTACTTAAAAACTATTACAGTATAGAGCTTTTCTGGACTGTGAATTAAACCATGGCTAAAGGTGGAAACTGCAGGAGCTGCAAAATAAATAAATAAAATAAAGACTTCTTTTGATTTGAGCAGTTATCGATACTAAAAAAGTCACATTCACAGGACAGAAACAAAACTTTCCTAAATAGCTTAAGAATTATCTTGAGCTGCATTAGAACTATAAGAGCACATAGACTAGTATATATACCCGTGGACCACTAAGGAACCTACCTGGACGACTGAGGGATTACACAGATATAAAGTCACATGGTAATGTAAAAGAAAGTACTATCATTTAATGTTGAAAATCACATTCTGTTGTCTAAAGAAAGATTTTTTTTTAATCATTATGGTACTGGTATCTTTTTTCATGGTATGAAATGTAGAATAGAGACAACACTATTACTAACTTTAGACTAACTTACTGTATGACTTATATACTTAGTTTTGCGACCCCATACATTTACTCCTACTTGAGTAATAGTGTACCGTGTAACTGTATGAATGATTTGAATATTTGTGTTTCTTGGAAAGCTCCTTCAGATATGATTTAGTTTGGCTCATGTTTGGGTCTGTCCTTTGAAAATACCAGATTTCGGTATGACATACATTATTTTTGTCCTTCACATTACATTCACATTCACTTCATATTATAAATGTAGTTAAACTTTAAGTTTCTCTTACTTGAGTACATGTTTAAGCTACTCCTAAACTATTTCTGCTCAGGACTAAACCAGGACAGAACCAGGACTGAACCAGGACTAAACTAGGACTACAGATGGTTCTTTGGCCTAATATTTTCCTGGTTTCAAAAGAATTGAAAGAATCATCCGGACTCGCTTATAAGTGACACAAATTCTGTGACACTTTGAGCACAAAGTGAAACCACAACTCAGCAAATTCTACAGACCAATGACCAGTCAGGAGTCTGCTACAACAACAGAGAGACAAGGACTAAACCAGGACTACGCCAGGACTAAAGGAGGACTAAAGCAAAACTAAACCAGGACTACAGCAGGACTAGACCAGGACTGAACCAGGACAAAACCTGTGAGCCCCACTAGAGGAAGTGAAGCTTCTACGGTTGGATGGTTTAATTGTTGATTTCATGGAGCAGAACAGGTGGAACCAGATCAGGAACAGGAAGTCCAAGTCCTTTTTGAGGTCTGAGCGCCAATCAGAACCAACAGACAGATTCTGGTTCAGTCCTGATATAGCTCTGGTTTAGTCCTGATTTAGTCTTGCTTTAATCCTGATTCAGACCTGGTTTTAGGTCTTACCTTGTCCAGTATGTACTTGGACAGGTAGGGCATGTATCCCTGGTTGGACACTGGACCTTCGTCGTCATCTTTGAAATGTTCTTCTAAAGCCACAGGATCATGAGGAACCTTCAGCACCGTGCACAGGTTATGGGACAACACCTGAGGAGAAAAACAACCAATGAGAGACAAACGCCGGAGAGAAACATCCAATCAGAGACGTGGAAGAGAGAGGATAGCCAATCTGAGAGGAAAGGAGAGTATAACTATAGAGAGAGAACCAATCAAAGACAAGACTTGGAGCAAAGAATCAGTCAGAGAGGAGGAAGAGAGAGCATTGGGAAACAGACAACCAATCAGAGATAAATCTAAGAGAGAACAGCCAGTCAGAGAGGAGCATCCAAGATGAGACAGCCAATCAGAAAGGAGAAGAGAGCCTTAAGCACCATGCACAGGCTATGGGACAATACTTGAGGAAAAAAGAACCAATCAGAGAAAAGCACCTGAGGAAAGACAACCAATCAAAAAGGAATATAGAAGAGGACAGCTAATCAGAGAGGAGGAGAGTGCAACGGTAGACAGAGCCAATTAAAATGAGACAAAAAGACCTGCGGCAAAGAACCAGTCAGAGAGGAGGAAGAGAGTAGGTTTGGAGAGAAACAGCCAATCAGAGAAGAGAATACAATTGCACATGGGGAAGGAGAACCGGGACTAAACCAGGACTGAAGCAGGACTAAACCTGGGCCAGGACTAAACTAAAACCAGACCAGGACTACTATATAGAGACACATTGAAGACTTTAAACCTAGAATGAGAATCAGATTTTGAACTGATCATGAAATACAGAGAATAAGAGTCTAGGCACAGTATATTTTGCATATATGCTCCACCCACTGCCAAAACTCAAAAACAATGAAAACAATAACTTTTGGTTCACTAATAAATGTTAAATCTCTAACTGACCTAGGCATTCTGTCATTTTTGTTTGAGGGAAATATGACTTTTTATATTCAATTACTAACGGTAATAACAGAGGGATGAGGGGAGTTCCCAAAAACACTCAAAAGAAGAAGTGGAAATGATTATGTCTAAAAATGTGCTGCAGAATTCTATGGTCGAATTGACATGTCAACTGTCAAAATTATGGCTCAGGTCTCTGTTATTACTTGGCCTATTCACATGAAATGAAAACTGGCACAAAGTTCAACGTGTCAATAGGCCATTGATACTTTGCTGCCAATGTCATCAGTAATCCCTGGAGGTGTGAGGCTAAGGTACTGCTCTGTCTGAAGGTCTGTTAGACTTTAATATGAACTTTATTTTAACACAATATGACACTAAAGAACAGACTTAGCAAAAACTACAACAGTTGGGCTGGGTTGGGCTATTAAACAAGTCTCTCACACATACAATTACAGTCATAAGCCAACAATTTTTCAGTTAGTCGCGCTCACCTTTTTGTTGAAAATCAAACTCCTAAACAGGACCATGAACATTCACGTCGATCACAAGCTCCTGGAAATGTGCTGTTTTGGGTTTTTTAAAATTAATTTTCAATTACTTGGTACTATTTGCTAATGTGTGCTTTTTGTAGGGTGACCAGACATCCCTATTTACCCGGGACAGTCCCAGTTTTGAGCACTGTATCTCCTGTCTGAGCAGACTTATTCAAAACTAATGATTTGTCCGTTTTATACAAGAAATGTCCCAGGTGTCCCTATTTCTGACCAATTTGATACACGGTAACAGTAAAGAGAGGCATAAATTGTCATTTATTTAGGTAAAATACAGAAAAGCTGCTTAAAAATGACCAAAACACAAAGAAAATATGACTACACTGGCTCACATTAGTGCCGCGTGCGTAACAGTTTTCCTTAATTATGCACTCCTTTCACAATTTTATTATTACCAACCAACCCAAACCAGGAATGTCCCAGTTTTTTATTTTGAAAATCTGGTCAGTTTTGTGTCATCACGGTAACTGCGTTGCACCATAGACACACATGTAGAACCCAGCATGATCTCACTGCAAAGTACCATTAAATAAAGAGTGAACTATATAATAATTAAAATGTGATTTTAGTACTTTACCTACCGGGAATATGAAAACAGACTCTCAAATATATTTCCTGTTAAATAAAGTGAAATGTAAATATTTGTCCCATTTTTGGCATAACTTTATTTTTAACTGCAATATTACAATTCCATTTGCAGTTTGTTGTTAAGAAGGAGCATTGTATTGTAATTTGCGCAAGTAATTTCCCAGTAACATGTAAATCTAATTTAAAAATACACATACATTGGTTAGGCAAGCTATAAGAAGCAATAGCAGGATTTGATAACAGAGCCATTTGAGAGGTGAAGAAGTGAAAATTGAATGAAATACTGCTGTGGAAATAAGCACTACACTGGTAGTACAGGTAAAGGTAATAGTAGTAGCAGTAGAAGTAGTGACAGCAAGTAGTTGTTGCATTGTAAAGAAATAGTTTTAGATGGAATCAGCACAGTTTCTTTTGTGATTCTAGGTCCTGTTTAAGTCCTGATTGAGTCCTGTTTTTGTCTTTGTTTACTCCTAGTTTTGTCCTGGTTTAGCCCTGGTTCAGTACTCATTTAATTTTAGTTTAAGAGCACTGGCTTTAGTTTAATATTCGTTTAGATGTGATTTAGTCCAGGTTCGGTCCAGGCCATCATTAAACCGAAAAACCCCAGGACTCTGTTCTTGAGGCATCCACAGACTGTCGCTTAATCTCATATCGCTGTGACCGCAGCAATCTCGGAAATACACGTTCCACTCGATCAACAATATTTACTCAACACTTCTCAAACTCAAACTTTAACAGGAGCGCACATCTGTCAGAATGTGCAGCTCAAATACCGCAGAACTATAGGGTCGTTTGAAACCAAGGACCACTGAACTGAACCAGGACTAAAGAAGTACAAATGCAGGTCTAAACTAAGGTCCAAACCAGAACTGAACATGGACTAAACCAGGTCTAAATCAGGACTAAAGAAGTACAAATAAAGGTCTAAACTAAGGTCTAAACCAGAACTAAATCAGGAATAAACTAAGGTTAAACTAGGACTAAACCAGGACTAAACCAAGGACTGAACCGGGAATGAACCAGGTCTAAACTCCGCGGCTCATCCTGCGCTCAGGGCCCGGGGACACGCACCTTGAGCTGGGACTTGGAGACCTTCCCGCTCCGGTCCACGTCCAGCGCGGTGAAGGCGTGCCAGATCGGCTTAAGCAGCTCGTCCCTGGACGCCATAGTCCTGGAGCAGGTCTGGAGCAGGTTTCTATATTGAAGAGAGAGAGGTCATGCGTGCATGAACTGCACATTCACTTCAAGAGCGGCTGTCACGTGACCACAGCAAGCGCAAAGCGCAGCAGCGGCGCTCAGCGAGAGATGCGCCTCGGCGCAACCATCAAAGAACAATTAATCAAGAACCAAAAACAAGAGAGAGAGATTGGAAGAGCAACCACATGTTTCAGCAATGAAAGCCAGCACCACCAAAAAGTTTATTTATTTATTTATTTTTTTCGCTAGGAAAAAAAAAATCTTCTGTTTTATGTAAATCTTCATTTTTATAATTCACATGGGACGAGGAACAAAAATGCAGTGTTGGGAAGTAACTGAAAACATGTACCCAAAATACATACACAATAATCGTGTTTAAACGTTTACAGTTTTCTTTTTCTTCCTTTTTGCAGTTTCAGGTGCTGGGCTTGTTTTGCTTTGATACTTTGACACTTGCTTGGACCGTGGTAAAATGAACTGGAAGAGAGCCACGTTTGATTGAAATACAGCCACTAGGCGTCGCTGGTGTGTGATCTGAGCAAAGTTATGAATTTCAAACATTAATTTTATAAGGAAAAACACCATGTTAATGTTCATATTATGTTGGTACTCACGGGTATTTAACTATAAAAGGTAGCCTTATAATAAGAGGTGAAACGTAACAAAGTATAAGTAGTAAAGTACTTTACTTTAGATATTCGTGTAATCCCTCAATCGTCCAAGTAGGATCCTTTAGATGTCCGTGTAATCCCTCAGTCGTCCAAGTAGGATCCATCGCAAAGGAGAAATTCAGTTCTGTCAACTGGATAAGTTTTGGGTTTTTTTGATCGAATAAGTTTCAAAGCTCATTCATGCTGCTTCTTCAGTTCTGGTCAGACACTGGTGGACACTGCCTGAAGGGAGGAGCTAACTACCGTACACTGAACTCTGAAGTTAAGACACCTGCTTGTTTACAGTTTCTGTTAGTTAGCTATGTCTATGGAACTGCACAAAGTGGGGACTGTGCCTGTGTCATATTAGCATAATCATTCAGGGCCATAATAACCTCTGTTCCTGACCTGGCTATCTCTATTGTTTTCTTTGTTTCGATTTACATCTGAGGTTGAAGTTGCAAAATGGAGATAGGTGATGTCTGAGGCCTCCATTTCTGTTAGAAGATGGATTGTCTTTCCTAACAAAAATATCTTATTTATCTCCCCTCTCAAACCAATTCTTTTACCATTTCATAACCAGAGTTAAGATCTGTACCTCACTATCCTCAGTGGAGTGGCCCGTGGCTTTTAGGTGGAGATGCAGACTGAGGACCATTATGGCTCTCTCTCGTCTGTGTTGATACATCCTCTTGAGAAGTGGCTGTTTAGTTTCTCCAATGTAGCGCTCACAGTTCATAGCTTCACTACACTGAATGGAGACCACATTGCTTTGTGCCTCGGTGTTTTGTCCTTTGGGTGGACCAGTTTCTCTCTTAAAGTGTTTGTAGGTTTGAAATAGACTGTGATTTCATGTTGTCTATAAATCCTCTGTAGTTTTAGGCTGCTGTACTTTACTCTTTGTACTTTATTATTTATTACTTTATTTAGTGGATCTTTTTTTATTTTTACTTCACTATATTTACTATATAGGAGCAGTTATATGTACTTTCTACTCCACTACATTGTTTTTTGTTGTTGTCTGAGACCTGTTGAAAGCCTGAGAAACTGATAAAAAAAAAAAAAAAAAAAAAGAAAAACAAACTGTTTTTGTTGAACAAAGTTAAACACAAATCTCTATCAAAATCACTAAATTTTTAAGGTTTATTAGACATTGAAATCTGCAAATCTGCAATACTTTTACTTCTTAATCTTTAAGTACATTTTTAAATGGGTACTTTAACAAAATTGAGTAGTGCTTCCACCACTGCTTATAATATCACTTCACATGAACGCTCAGGACAGAATCTTGTTAACCACAAAGTCAGTGAAGGAAAAACTGGAACCATTCCAGTTTGTATATACAGTAAGTTGAGGCACAGATGATGCTGTTGCTGCCCTCATCCATATTATGCAAGATTTTTTTTTGTCTGCCTTCAATACAATTATAAAATGTCAAGCTCAGACAGGAGCTTAATGCATAAAATCAGAGTTAATGATGAGCAGAAGATGGTCTTTGTTAAACTGTCCTGTGTGTATTAAGGTTAATATACTGATATAGCAGCCCACGCTGTGGATACTTTATCATTAAATTAAACTATATATTTCAGCACACCCCTCGTGTGTAATGTACTTGTATTGTGTTGATGTGACTAAGCTGCTGTTTCTTAGTGAAACAAATTCCTGATCTATGATCTGACAATAAAGCATTATCTTATTAATCTAAATTGCAGAGCTCAAAGGTTGAAGTGAGAGGCAAAGTGTATCATGGTTCAATCCAACAACTGGCTTTATTAAAGAATCTCTGAAGGAGTAAAAAAGATAAATTAGGGCTGAACAATTTTGGAAAAATTGGAAAAGGCTATCTGTACTTTTTTCTGCAAAGCATTGAGATGTGATTCTATTTACGATTTATGTTATATTTTATTTTTTAATAGTAGGATTCAGTCAGGGGTGTAGAGGTCTCAACAACAGGGTCAGCAGCCTTTACACAAAGACCCTATGGAAACAAAGGGAGGGCATCTGAAACACAGGGACATTTCAGTACATGTTGGAAGAGGACAAAACTTCAGGGTCAGCAGCTTTTACACAGAATAAGATCAGACATTTTGTCTGCTCAAAAAATATGTTAACAGTTGCAGTCTTTCCTACTTCAATTTGTTTATAATATATCTTGCAACCCTAACACAAATAATGTTACTTAAAGCAAATGGCTAGTTGTATTAGAATTTGACTTATTTGAAATTTAAAGCCTTGTATCAAACGAGTTCGATAATAAAAAAAGATTAAATAATTTATCATGACCAGAAACCAAGCCCAAATCAGTGAGTTTTAGAAAGAAGTTTATTAAAAGAACATATTTACAGATAAAACAGAAAAGTTAGATTTTTACAAAGAACAAATGTTTTTTCTTCAAACGTCAAAATTAAACAGAATTTGACTGTAAAGACAAACAGTGATTGTTCTAATGCTAAGGCAGAGGCAGAGGAACCAGCGAAACATACAAAAATACCACCATTTTACAAACCAATCCCATGATAAACATTTAAATGTAGATCAAACATCAGTGCGTTCAACAGTGGAGATGACCAGCGATGTTTACAAGGAACAACTCATTTGGTGTTTAAAATGAGAGAAATCATTTTTTATAAATGCATGAACCACGATCTTGTTTTAAAGAGGAGGTATTACACTTTCATTTTAAATGCTGAGTATCCACTCATTTTGATCCCCTTGCCAAGTCACTCCAGCTTCAGAATTGTTAATGGAGAATGGTCATGTGACAGCATGAGTGATGCATGCTTGTCTTACAGTTAACTACATCAGTCTGCCCCAGGGCAGCTGTGGCTACAGTAGTAGCTTACCATCACCGGGTATGGAGTGAATGAATTCTCTGTAAAGTGTCTTTGAGTGTCCAAAAAAGCGTTATATAAAACTGATGGAATTATTATTATTATTATTAACTTAGGTCGACAGGGTCTGTGAGAGATCACTACATTAATCAGACATGCATGGATGACATCTAAAATTTCTTCAGGCATGTTTTTGATGAGGGATCAATGTAAAAAAAAAAAAAAAAAAAAAAAAAAAAAAAAAAAAAGAAAATTGCGTAACACCCCCTCTTCAACAAAAAGGGAAAAAAATGAAATGTTTTGTTTTTAAAGTTCATTAAAAATATGAAATCAGACTTACTCTTAATATGACATTTGTTTACTGAAAAGACTGAATACAGTGTAATTTTATTGGAAGTATAAATCTATACCAACTAACAGCCACTTAACCTCAAAATCACATTAGGTTTTGTGTTTTGTTTTTTAGTTCTTTTTGCAAATTCCACACAGAAATCACAAATTAGAATCACACCACAACAGATAATTCAATTTCAGAACAAGACGAAACAACAAAACAAAATTCACTGAGATCAAAATGTGTAATTTTGTCAATCAGTATTAAAATTGGGGATTTTTGTGTTTCATAAAAACAAAATGGTTGAAAATAAAATGTTAGAAGTTGATTAACATAACTTTTTGCTCCACTGATGTCACAAAATGGCCGCTACCTGTTTTGTTTACGCTTGACCTCTGTCCTCTGACCCAAACACAGTCATAGCAGCGCTTTCTACACTTAGATTTTTTTTTTACATTTTTGTTTGGAATTTACATTTTCTGAGAATTGTTTACATTTCGACTCGTTCAAAGTGCTCTGATCTGGTTCAGCTTACATTCATCTAGGAAACAAGGAGACACTAGGAAAGGAGAGAAGAAGGCAAGGAAAAAAGAAAAGACTTGCTTTTTCAGTTTGTTTTTTGTACCAGGATTTAAAACTGAATTTTGGACCCATTTCACACTTAAAGTTCCTCAAAAAGTTTAAACTTTTGTGACAATTTTTTAATTCCAAAATAAAACATTCCATAATATCTGAAGAGAGCGCTAAAATAGTCAAACGTGTGAAGGACATTTAAAACCTCTTCAGACATGTTTTTAATGAGTGAACAATGATACGACATGGAGGTAACTCCATAATGTCCATTTTGCACAATAGCCCCTGTAAGGTTTGACAAGTTGAGCAACATCAAATTTGAAACTTCAAGGTGTAAGTTATAATCTCATTGTCTCTAAATGAATAATGTGCATTTGACATTTTAAATCGAAGAGTCAGTACAAATTTGAGTCAACACTCTCAAGTGTGAAAAGGGTCTAGGGATGAAATTATTTTAAATACTGTCCAAACTTGTTGCTGCATTTTTGAGGCAGTAGGGCTTTTTTTCTTCTTTTGTTGCAGAATTTTAAAAACGTCCATTTCGTTTGAATCTGCAGATCTTTGACAGTTTTTTTTTTTTTTTGAGTTGAAGTTTGTTTCTTTACCCAAGTGAAAATCCGGGGATTGGGAAAAATGTGTCTGGCAAAATCTGGTCTTTTTTGTAAAGTTGTATTTCCTGGTTTAGACCTGGTCCAGACCTGAGTCTACTGGAGTCTTTTTTTAGTAGATGGTGAGATCTGGTTTAAACCTAGTACAGATCCAGTCTCTGTAGGTCTTGCTCAGTACATTGGGAGTCCTGATACAGATCTCGTTCAAATCCGGTTCAGACCTGGTCTCTCTAGTTCTTGCTCAGTAGATGGTGAGATCTGGGTCAGACCTGGTTCAGTCTTTTCTCAGTAGATGGCATGTCCTGGTCCCTATTCAGTCCTGTCCCGGTCTCTAGTCCTTCAATATATAGTGAGTCCTGGTTTAGTCCTGGTTCAGACCTGGTTGAAACTCGGTCTCTGTAATCTCAATATATAGTCAGGCTGACTGAGCGGTTCATCTTCTTGCCGATCAGTCTTCCGTTCCTGGGTCCGGTCTGGAGTGTGGATCTGGTCAGGACCCGGTCTGTGGACAGGACTTTCTCTTCTGCTGCCGCTCGAGCCATCTGAGCCTTTTTCAGCTCCCTACCACAGAAGAACATAGCATTAGGGAGTGTGTCAGATGCCCTCCCCGTATGCCAGATAATTTGTTTTCCTCCATTTTGACCAAATGCAAATGCAGAAGAGAGCGGATATTTTGTGAGAAACTCTTTGATGAATGCACGTCTGAATTTGAACAGGTGTTTAAAATGGAGGACTCGGGTGTGAATGACTAAATACACAAAGAACTGTCTGCTTCTGGATCTGTCCGGACTAGTTTAATTTTACACTCACTTTCACTTTCAGATTTTTGTAATTCCCTCACACCCTTTTTACTTTATGGGGAAAATCATTGTGCCTATGCAGTTTAGGCTTACATTTATTACCAAATTTTATCACCCATTTCAAAATTGTATAAGTATTCATAAGATATACTTTGAGGTCAAAGTACATAGTTTATATAATAGTGGTAGTTGATTAGTCGGTTTAAAAAAATCTATTGCACTGGCGTTATGAAATAGTAATGGCAGTAGTACTGACAATCAGTAAGACTGATTCTGTCAGTGCTGTTATTGTAGTACTAGTACAGCATTGTAAACCACTGTATATTACATAATAGCAGGAGTAGTAATGCACAATACTTCCAGAGTTAGCATGGTACTCACTTTTGCAGTAGTGCATTCTTGAACTTCTCAGCGTTGAGCTCCACTCTGAGCTGGTCAGCGTCCATCTTGGCGGCGGTGAGGAGCACAGGGTTTCTGAGTAGCTGTGACGTGGAGGGTCTGCGCGAAGGGTCCGGGTGAATCATTAGCTGAGGAAATAGAACAACAATTATTTCATTATCAGCTGAGAGTACAGGTATATAAGGATAACAAAAGGATTTTATTATCAACAACACAAATACAAAACCATGTGCTATCTCACCTTGAGCAGTGCGATGAAATCCGGAGACAGGACCTGTGGGATGGAGGGTAGTTTTCCTTGCCGGATTTCGTGCCATTTGTCTCCGTTTGTGGGAAGTGGCTCAGCTCCGGAAGCACTCACCACAGTGAGCGCCAAAGCAAAAATGTCCGCTGTAGTTCTGTATCAAGTTGCAACTTTCTGCAGGTAGAAAGTCAACTGCGTGATTCCATGGAAATTAAAAGTTAAAAATCATACTATGGAACATTTTCTATGGAGATGGATATGTTTTATGCTATACTGTGGAACATTATAGCCAAAGAAACACAACATTTCCATTAAAAAAGAGCAGGCTTGTGGAGATGCAAGCCCATTACAGTAAGGATGCAGATTGTTCAATGTTTTTCATTTCAATAAAAACATGCTTTTATTTCAGTCTATTTTTTGGCAAAAAAGTGACATAATGTGGCTTTAATATCAAATTAAGTTCTATGACGGGAGAGGTCAAGTTTATTTCAGAAAAGAATGAAAAAAAAAAGAGGCCTCACCTCCTGTAGAACTTCATTGGCCAGGTACCGGCTGTCTCCCTCCTCCACCTGAGGGTTATTCACACATGTCACATGACCCAAGTCACCTGATCACACACACACCACAGTTAGTACACCTCATGATCAAATATCACAAAATTATTAACTAAAATACAGTTTGTGGATAGATTTCTCACCAATTTTGTAAATGACGCTTGTAGAGAGTTCGTCCTCTTCTTCGTCCACATCTTCACAACTTGTAACTGATTTACGTGAAATAAAGATATTACCTGACAAAAGAGAACAATAAATGTCAGAATAGAAACTCCAGAGCAGCAACTCATCTGATCTAAACACAAACTTTGGAACATGTCTGGTGCTGAGAAAAGACATAACCATCAAGAGCAGGAATACATTTTAGGTTTTACATTTAAACAGTTTAATATTTATACTGTTTTAATGAAGAAAAAAAAAGCGTGATTCATATCCAATATTAGCATTGTTACGGCTTCACGTGGGACAAATTTCATAAAAGAAAAACTCAACTATGCACCTCTCATTATCAGACTATAAATATGAAAAAAACTGACAAGCAAAACAACTGTCAGGGAAGAGAAACATGCCACCCTATTTCACCACCTTCTCTGATCTTTGGAGAGGTAATGCTAATAGTAAAAGCAGTAGTAACACTCGCAGTGTTTGCACTTGGTTTGATGTCCATGTGTTATACAAGTAACAGTAGCAGTTTTATTCTCTTACTTGGTTTAATGTCCATGTGCACGAGGCCAGTGGAGTGCACGTAGCGCAGCCCTCTAGTCACTTGGAGCAGCAGGTCTTTTAGTGCAGCTTCGTTTAAATATGTAAGTCTTCGGTAGTTTTCAGACACTAGGTCAGCTAGCGTACCGCCATTGCAGTACTCATTCTGTATTAGCATGTGTTCGTCCTCAGCCCACGCAGAGTAATACCTCACCACATGGGGGTGCTGTCCCAGGACCGCATGTGCATACACCTCACGTAGAGCATTCTGTCTGAAAGGGCAGAGAAAGATAAATATTAAATTACATTTCAAATTCTCTGCATGGTGCTGATGTTTGTTTTATTAAGTATTATATTCTTAGTAACACTAAATCTAGCTCCAACAAATTGGAGTTCCATTTCATCCCCCCTAACCGGGGCTTCAAACTAAGATAATCATTCAGAGCTTTAAGCCTTAAGCAGCGCCTCTGGTACATACATACATAATTCCCTTCCCTTATTCTTGAGAAACATCTAAACATGATTTAGTGCACTCACTCGTCCACAGATCCGGCGAGTGGTTTCTTGGACCTCTTGATGGCGTAGATGCAGCCATCCAGTCGTTTCACACATTTAAACACCGCCCCAAACTCTCCACAGCCAATCTTCTCCAACTCCAAGAACTCAGAGGTATAACGTGACGCCATGTTACTGTGCATCATCGTGATACGCTGAAAATATGAAAAAACACATGTGAAAATACTGCAAAACACTGTAAATTTACACAACTGATATGAGGCCAGTCAAGTTAATGTCCATAGGCCCAGTAATTACAGAGATATCCACCTCCAACTCAGTTTCAACTTTTTAAACTTAACTACTAACTATCAAGTACAGGGATACTACAATTTTGGGTCGTTACCTCAACAGAATCCATTCACAGGTGTCATTTAAATGATTCCTGCCTGATGTGAAGGACTGAGTGAGGACTTTTGACCATTCAAAAATCCTTCAAATCAGTTTGGAATTTCTCTAAAATTAAGTAGTAAGAGTGTAGGTGAAACAAAAAGATAACTGTTTTTACCTTTGAGGGAGGCAGGATTTCCTCCTCTCCTTCTCCATCACTAGGGTCCATGTCTTCACCACAAGAACTGAAACAAAAACACAAGATTTAAGGTTAGAACTACACACTGGTTTAACTCTTTCCCCCCTGGACGCCTACTAGGAACAACCCATACATATGTTACTAGGGCTACCTATAGAGCATAATTGCATAAAAGAAAACAGACTTCCACGAGTGATTATAAATGATTTTTACACTCATGAACTTAATTGTAACACAGACATATTTGGTATCTCTGGAAACCTTAGACTCTGAACTATTCATTTATGGATGTTTAAATGTGATTCAACTCATTTATAGGTGTATAACAGCTCACTGAAAATGAGAGTTTACCTGGTCAGGTGCAAGCTCGAAAACAAAAAACTACATTCAGCATCTGATATCTGCATGTTCTGAGTACTATATTCATAAAAAACTAAAAATATACTTTGTCAAAGTATTTAAACAGATTTCATATCACCAGATACAGTATAGCCAAGTGTACACCTGTTTTTACCTGTTGTTCACCTGTGTGCACCTAATTCATTTTTTTCCATTTAGCTTATTCAACTCATTTAACTTATTCAACTTATTTTATTTATTCAACTCATTTAGCTTATTCAACTAATTTAGCTTATTATAATATAATAATAAAACTCTTCCCCGTCAGTGTGTGTCCAGTATTTGTCATCTTGGTTTCTTTCTCGTGCGCAGAGCTCCGCATGAGCGTTTTTTCTGTAGCGATTCTGTTATACATTGCATCTTGGGAAAAAAAACTGAAATATTTTAAAGGACTAGCTTGGGCAACATCCAGATTTCAGGGCAATTTTGGTTCATAATCGAGTATAAAGCTCAGATAGTTTGTTCGGATATCGCAGGACTCCACACAGACGCATCAGCGGCATTCTCATCTTCTCCCCGAAAGTCCGTCGCTATCGCTGTTTTCCACTTTATAATCAACTTCAACATCATCACTTTGAAATCTATAAAAGTCACTTTCTCTAAACTTATCCATAAAATACGTCCGCTCCTCATTATTTCTAAAACTGCGCGCCGCAGCGCCGCGATCTTTCCATTGCACGTGTTTCGTGTTGTGTTTTTTCCGGAAGCTACAATCGTCAGTATTTCGATTAACTTCGGAAAAAATCGGCGAAAACATATCCTTGAATCTTATTGGTCAGTCTAGTGTGGGTTGTAGTGGCCCCCACCGATCACAGTCTCTGTTTAAATGTGAAAAACCGAGCCATTTCTAAAGGTCGTCAAATCACGTCTTTAGTGATACGGCGGAGGTGTCAAAAGTCGTCATTAAGGGTTCAGGGGGGTCGTCAAATGTCGTCTTCATGGGGGAAAGAGTTAAAGGTGGTACAGCTATATTCTAGTATATGAGTATGGAGTCTAATCCCTAGTACTAAAATCAAGTTTGAAATTTTAGTATTCTGACTACATTAAACAAGACCAATAAGAGTCCTCAAACATGAACATTTTCAAATCTAGCATATGTTTAGAGAGTTTTTGGTACTCACTCATTCCAGTGTGCCCTCTTTCGGTTGACCCTTTGCTGTGTGGCCGATTGGATGAGCAGAGAGTCGGGTGTGAAGGGGTTAAAGTTCACCAGTGGCGTGTGTTGTCGCCGGGCACTGTCTGTCAAGGCCTTTCCTGATTGGTCGGTTTTGAACAGCGCCACTCTGCGATTGGATGAAGTAGTGCCCGTCGTCCGCGCTCTGGACAGTAAACTCTGAGGGGAGAGACACATGTTAGAAACTTGTAAACAATAAGCACTTTAGCATTTTAAACATTGCCCTGTGTGTCAGATGCCCTCTGTGTGTCTCCATAGGGGTCTTGTTCTGTATAAAAGCTGCCAACCCTGTAGTTTAGACATCTACAAACATGTTCTTGAATGCATGGTGTTCTTGGATTAGTTTAAAGTTCAGATTTCAGTTTCTGTCAGATGTAAATGCTCCTCAAGGCGTTTGAAATTCAGGATTCTGTCGAGGTGCACAATTCAAAATACAAACATGAGATCTAGTATGTCAAAAAATGTGAAATGAGATTTTTCTTTGTTTTTTTCAGCCCCATTATGAACTGTGACATTGACGTTTCGGGTGTGTGTTGTAGCTTTTGTCTTGTGGCGTCGTGCAAACATCAGTGCTTTCAGGTAAAATTATCCGTTTTTGTTTAGTGTAAAATGAGCTGACTTCTTTCAAACCTGTTAAAAAAAATCTCAAATTTCCAAGCTTCAAATAAGCAGATGTCCTTCGTGAAGTGACAGTTTAAATCAGTGTTTAAATGTCCACACAGAGGTTTTAACAATTTTAAAAGACCTATATTGCACAACTCTCAGAAGAGTCAATTTGTTTAATTTTGTTTCATTCACACATGGTCAAGTAACCCTGTATTATTGGTCTGACTATATCTATAAAGCTCAAAATGCACTGTTCAACTTTGTGATATCATGAAGCAGTAGTTAAAGCAGGGGTGTCAAACTCATTTTGGTCCGGTGGCCGTATCCAACCTACTTTAATCCCAAAGGGGAAAGATCAGAAAACTCATGGCATATATACCCCAAAAATAGCAATAAATTCAAATATTTGTGCAGAGAAAAGCAAATCTATTACAGAAATCTTTTTAAATTGATGAACTCTTTCTTTTACAAAATATTATAATATTATGAATAACCAGAAACCTTTAAGAAAAATACAATTTCAACACAATGTTTTAACATTAACTTGTATGCAAATAGGAATAAGTCAATTTTTCTTGGAAAATCCTGCACTCGGCTCCACTTTTCTCACTTTTAACATTTTGCTGATGATGGTGTCCCAATCAACAATCAAAACGATCGTCCTTTAAGAGCATTTGGAAAGAGACAAGTCTTCATTTGTGCTGCTCTGGTGGGAGGGGCCACGCACAGAGGTGCTGGAGACACTGCTATGCTAAGCGGCACAAAAAATGACCAATATTTTAATAGAAAGCATAATTAAAATATTTTAGTAGAAAATCAGCCGAAGGCCAGATTAAAGGTCTTGGAGGGCCGAATTTGGCCCCCGGGCCATATGTTTGACACCCCTGAGTTAAAGTCAACAGCTCCTTTTACCTTTAGTTCAGTAGAGATAGGTAATTCCAGGTCTGAAATCATCCAAATGATTCTAGTGAAGGTGTACAGCATTTAAAAACACAGTGGCATACTCTATCCTCACATGACTTCACAAGGAGGAACAAAGTGTTTTCTGTTTGACAGAAGAACTCAGCCTAAATATGCAGGGTTTGTGTATTAAACTTGTGTGAATAAAGCAAAACACAACTTCAAGTAGTATGTTTTGAATACCAAAATTTCGCAATATAAACCCTTTAAATAATAAAAGAATCTTTGTTTAGGTTTTTAAATTAGTGATGAGGTGTTAAAACTTCTGTGACATACCACACAGAGCCGAGAGTCTCCACATGTGGAACAAGGCTCTATGGTCTAACCTGATTTAAATATCCTGTGTGTAAACTAGTGGGCATTATGGCTGCACAATTTAGGGGGTTCCTAATTACAATTTAATTTAAACAAAGATTCAAGCCAAAAGTGCATGTATTAAGCCAGACCAGAAGCATTACCGTTTGGTTCTTAATGACATAAAGAGGACAGACTAACTTTAAATAAAACTATTAGTTCATAAGTTCCATTAACAACATTACTCAGTTCAAACTCCAAAGCTGGTGCATTGTGGGTAGGTGTAATTCAAACATTCCTTCAGTTAAAGTGAGTTTAACCCAGTGACCCACATCTTAGAGTTACGTAACTCACTGCACAGGAGCCAGGTTAAAAGCAATCGACCAAAAATGTATTATTATTTTTTTTTAACAGATTTAAATGTGCCACTCTTTTACATTTCAAAAACAGCCCATTTTTAATATAAAGTTGGACTTCACTAAATGGACATATGCATCAAAGGAATGACTCAGCATTTTAGAGCTTTAAACAATTGACAAGTTAAACATTAAAGCAATATATTTTCTGCAATATTTGACAAAAAATTCTAGTTTAATGCTTTTTTTTTTTTGTTTTCTAAAAGAAGCAGTTGACTAATGTGTATTCCAATTCCTTTAGCCAATCCAAAAGCCAAACATAATGGACAATATTACAGAATAGTTACAAATACCTTTAACTGAAACCGTATTAGTGCTTTAATATTAATTTTACTTGTGGCTGTTCGTGTTCGTGTCACCAAAGCAAAGCAGAGAACAAACCACCTGTTGAGTCATACTGTTATCCCAGAGGAGCACATTCCAAAACATGGTGCACATATTTAACATTGCAGCGCTATTTTAAAGTTTAAACTGAATTTGTATGTGTAAATACATTGGTCAGGTGTGTATGAGAGGCAAACAAACCTTTGGCGTGTGTGGCGTGTCGAAAAGCCGCAGCTTTCTGAAGGTTTTGTGTGGAGGAGTGTCGGGGCAGTCGGGGATGGGAGAACTAGACGGTTCCCCCTCATCCTGCGGATAAGTCCGGTCTGGAGAGTCTCCGAAGAGTCGGGAGGAGAGCTTCTTTGGTGACGGGGAGCAGGTGGCGAAAAGGCGGCTGGTGGGGGACTGTAGGTGCGTGGGAGAACCGAAGCTCAGTCCGTCCTCCTCGTCCTCCCAGAGCTCCACATCATCCGCGGACTGATCCAGAGCGCTGCCCGCCTCCATGCGCGCTGCCACTGGAGAGTCCATCTCCGTGAAACCGGACTCTTCCCCGGTGCTGTTGTTCACGTCGTCTATGGGCTCGTCCTCCCCGTCGCTGGAGGTGAACTGGAGCTTCTGTCGGATGGGTTTGCACTTGGGAGACGCGGATCCATGCCGCTGGCGACTGTAGCGCGACATGTTAAGGGTTTTAAGTCCTCGCGTCGGCAAAGTGCGAAGAAAGCGCAATAAAAGCGGTCGAAATCGGGAACAGCGACTTTTTGAGTGCACTATAAGATGCTATCAGGCGTTTATCCAAGTTAAAATAAGAGTCAAACGAATAAAAATAAGTTTGAAAGCAACCAAAGTCTGTTCAATTTTTGTAAACTCACACGCCCATCAAACCGCCGCGGCCCACATTGGCTGTTATACACTGCGCAGAATAATGTCCCTCAACGGGCTCAGAGCCGGTAAAATCCGCTCCTGTCCTGTGTCAAGTCAGTGGCTGTCCCTCGGTGAGACGTGGATGAATAAAAACCGAAACAGAGAGACGTCTTTCGGATAAAAGCGCTGTGTTGTGCGCGCAGACCGTGGATGAACTCCCTCCTCTGATCACGCGTGGCAAAGGACTTCCCGCGGCCGTTGGTCACGTGGCCCCGGGCGACCAATCAGAACGCGTGACCGCAGTTTGAAAAGGGGGCGGGGCGTGCGTGAGGACTCTGGCGCGAACGTGAGTGACGCAAAGACGTTACGTGAGAGTGTGATATCATCAACGGTAGAACAAAAGAAACATTTACTTCTGAAAAAGAGCCACGAAGTCATAGTTTTGACCTAAAAACCAGTTTAAAACCAGTTTAGACTAAAGATTTCTCGTCCCCTCACTAACTTTAACAATCAAACACAAGAAATGACCGAAGAATAATGGGTAATTAAACATAAAAGTTAACATTTAGATAAGCTAAACAATAAGAATCACTTCAATTAATAGGAACGCTTCACCTAAAGCAAAGACATGCCAGAACTTGTTCATCTGTTTGGAACCCTGAGCAAATACATGCATAATTATAATTTAAAAACACCCTTTTAAAGAAAAATACTGAACAAAAGTATAATATTTAATTTTGAGTAGAAACAAGTAAGAAAACTTTCAGCATTCTGAATACCACCAGATCTAAATGAGGTCAATAAAAGGACTATTTTTAATTTGTGTTAATGCTACTGTAGTTACTGGTTAGTTAAAACTACCCACAGGAAGACTCTAAAGTGAAATTGACAAACACTTGAAAACCACTGATGGCTTAACTTTATCCTAATAATCATCAATAGGCTACCATCTAACACAATTATAAACAGCAGCTTGAATTAAGTAATGACTATTACAAGTAATAGAATATGAGATTTAATCTTGCATTTGGACAGTTTCCTTTACTATTTGTTTTACCGTAACGTTAATGTCATCACGTCTGAGCTCTGATATCTCAATACACCTCTCCTATTTGTCAGAGCAAACAGATAAATACCATGATCAGTAGGAAAACGTGGTAATTCAGTTTAGCTTTAACAGTCTTCCTATAAACCTGCCAAAAATGCATTGCTTTTAATATTATTTTAAATATCATCTGAATTGTTCAGATTACCAATTTTGCCAATAAAATGAATCTTAACAGTGAATAAGATTTTGATTGGATCACAGTTTAAATCCCACACTCACAATAAATGACTAAAATCACTCATGTCATGTAGTGTAATGTTGAAAGAATTCCCAAATTAAATCACATTTCATCATAGGGCTGATCTAGAGTGAAACATGGTCCTATTATTGCATATAGGCATAAGGCAACTGTATCATGCACATATTACTACACACAGGCCATTAGTGTAAAGTACCACTTTTACTCACTTTTGACATAGACTGATCTCAAAATGTCAGCGTTTAAAACATTAAAGCTACTTTAAATCTTTTCAACTTCTTCCCTATACGTATAAATAAAAGTGAAATGATTTTTTCACAATAGCTTCATAAAGCAGTGCCATTATTTTTGGTGAAGTTTTGCCTTCTGGTTGGGAACAGGTGCAGATGTTGTAGTGTAATTCCATAACTGTTATCTAGCAACTATAAGGTAAACAAAGGACAAAACTTGTCTAAACCAATTGTGATTTGACTAATACAAATGCATGACAACACCTCTATTTTGTTAAAGGTTTAAAACTTTTTGTCATCTACTTTTCTTCAGAAGCTGCTAAATTGATGTAAAACTGATAAATATTACCACAGGTACTATTCCACCAAAGCAAGTCACAGTTAGAAAAATATATTAATCTGTGAAATCCACTTTAAATGAGCAAAATATTACAATGCATAAAGTTAGTTCTTCACATTTTTTTTTTATTAGAAATAGCATTAGCTGTACACTGTTAGAAAGCTCTCCCTCCACATTCAGGGACAAAATACTTTAAGAGTCCATTTATCAAAATCCTACAGTTCTATGTACAATAAAAGCGCAGCTTGTGTTGGAAGACTCGATTTGTCAAAGTCCGAGTGCAAAACCAGAGACCAGGACCCAGACCAGAGACCAGGACTAAAACCAGAGACCAGGACTAAGACCAAAGAGACCAGACCAGTGACCAAGAACAGTCCAGGTTTTCCCAGAGGTACCATAATCATAGGCCTGATGCAAAATGCTATCAACTCATTATTAAACATATGAAAAAAAATGTAAGGGTTGGTCACAATTATCAAATTCCAAAGTCTGCAGTCAATTAGGCAAGCTCCTATTCCTCTGTGTCAGATGCCCTCCCTTTGTCTCAATGGAGTCTTACTCTGTAAAAGCTGGCTGTACACTTTAGCCCTCTACAAACATGTTCATGGTATTTTTGGATTAGTTTAGCAGTTCATTTTTCAGCGTTCTTTAAAATCTTGTTGCTGATGGACATAATGTATTAAATTAATCCAGATTTGAAAACTCAAAATATACAACTGCAATCATAATACTTTTTCCAACCAAAAATGTGCAGCACTACTACCAGAGAGTCACTGGTTCAGACCCAGGCATATACTCTTTTTGTATGCCCCTTTCTGTCATAGTAATGTGGTGGGCCATGATGAAGGACATCTGACATAAAACCTGTTAAACCTGTAAAACTGGTTTGTGGAATGAACTCAACTCAATACTGTTTAAATACATTTTTAAGCATTTCAATCACTTTTTCCCAGACCTGCCCAGGCTCCTATAGATCTGGCTTGTTCCAAGTCCTGGTCCAAGTCCTGGTCCATGTCCTAGTTTTCTGATGCGTTCACACTTGTTCTGATCACTTCTGGTTTAGTCCTGGTCTAGTTTTAGGTTAGTTTTAAGTTTAGCTGTGATGTGGTGACTGGGCAAGTGTGAGCGCACCCCTAGTCTAGTCCCAGTCCTGGTTTATTGTCAGTCCTCCAGGCCTGGAGACTCTCCTTGTTGTATTCTTGAGGCGATCCTGATGGCCTCCTCCAGCGACGGACTCTCACTCAACTGAAACAGAACACACAGAGAAGGGTGAAAATTTTGCCAATATTTCTGAGTCATTCCCAGTTTGCCCTGACTGCATCAAATTTGTCTTTTTGAACAGACTCATGAGGAACATCCTAGGCAAAGCATTAACATCTCCATGGAGATGAGGTTGCAGACCCTCCACCAAGTTACACCTTTAACTTGCACATGGATTGGGTATTTTTCTAAATTTATGAATATGCATAAACACAATTACAATACTTGTTTTTTTCTTATTCTGATCTGAACTAAGGATATGTCAAAAATCAATAGTGATTTTTGAACATTTTCCAATCTCTAATGTGCCCGTCAATGTTTTAGTTGATATTCAACTACTGCACAAAAAGTGAAAATTGAACACATGCTTATAGTGATATTGTAAGTTTAATTAAGAATCAACAGTCCCCAAAAACAACAACAGCAGTATTCCCTTTTCTTACATCTCCTTCCTCAATCTGACCATTCAGTGACCTGACTGACCTTAGCTGCTACTTTAGGTGAACTGTGACTAAATAAACTTTGGCACTCTTAATGCAGTGGCATCCTCCATTTTGTGTCTGTCTCTAACGGAACCATTACCACCGTTTCTAATGAGTGTTAAATTATAAAAGGAACAAAATACAATTGTGACAAAGTCAAAGCAAAATCTGACTGAGAGAGGAGCAGAGGAGGGGCAGAGTTGGCATATGAAATACAAGTGGAATGGGGAGAGAGATAGAGGGGGGGGGAGAAAAGCAGAAAGGAGGTGAAGAAGAGGGACAGAAGGAAGGAGGGGAAGGGGGAAGAGAGGGGAAGATGAGGGAGCGACAACTAGACCGATAGGGAGGGGGAGAAGCCTGGTTCAGAGGAGCAGCAGTTAGCATCTGAAATACAGACAGTAAGAGAAAGAGGTGCAGGAGAGAAAGAGAGGAACAGAGAGAGGAAAAAAGAAGATGAGAGCAAGAGGGGGAGGAGGGAAGGAGCAGTAGCGTTAGCATCAGAGGCACAGACAGTAGGAGGGAGAGGAGAGAGGAGGAGAACTTGTCAAGTATAAATGAAGACAATCAAGTCCATGTGAAGAAAAAAAAGACTAAATCAGAACTAAACCAGGACTGAACCAGAACAGAACAGTGTTCTACAGAAGAGATGTTTTTTGACAAATGACACTGACTCAGACCTGAACTGCAGAAGTCAAGGAGCTGAACAATGACAAGCTGTGATAATAAACAGCATAGTGTTTTCGTTCGTTAAATAGCGGCATAAAATCACACACTCAGTTGCTATATTAATAAAACAGGCTCTGTGCACAGCAGCATGCCAACTAACTCACTATATCTAAAAGCTAACAGTCACTTTTATTTTATGGTAAAACATAAAATAAACATCCTATTAAAATTCTAATAAAATAAAGACTACCTAATTATTTTTATGTGTAGAATACTTCAGTTAGTGGCTTTGTTTTAATATCTATTTTGCCTCAAAATGAGCATTAACATTAGCAATGAGACAGAAACATCTCGCTTTCTAAACACAGAAGTGTATCGTCCGCTGAAGGATTACAGCAAAGTTGCCAGGACTTATGGTGCACAGAGCCTACTGGTCAGAAAATCTACACTTAGCAGTTTAAGCCTGCATACATCTGACATTTATTATTATTAAAACTGTCCTCCTCCTGTATAAAAGGAAAACTTCATGTAAACAACACAGTGAACAGGATTGAAGCCGATTTAACTGATTGAAGTTGAAATACGAGTGAAAATGGATTCTGTTTAGTTCTGTTTGAGAAAACAGAAGACACAATCAGGACAAAAGAGTTAGCATAAAAGGACTACAAATCTAGAGGGTTAGCATTAAGGAGTACAGGAGAGTTAGAATACAGTACTACAAAAGAGCGTTAGCATCAGGACTACATGAAACAGAGAGCATGTGGACTCAGAGCCAATTATACTGACAGAAGGCACATTTTAATACTGTGCGGATTCTCACTGGGACTATATTCAAATTTCAATTAGACCTGTGTAATTAACCACATTTTAGTCAAGATTTTGTCATTTCTAATGGTCAGTGATCAGCTGGGCCATTTCTGATGGAGTGGTCTACAGTCAATAATTCCAAAAGCATGTGGTTAAGAGCAAGACTTTGGTGGAACTAGAGTTCCACAGCAAGACTGTTGCTGTTTCGACTCCTGGGCCATTCTGTGTGGAGTTTGCATGTTCTTCCTGTGTCTGGGTTGGCATCCTCACTCCATCAACTACATGCACAATAGGTCAACTGCTCCAACTAGGTAATCCTGACTAAGACTAGCTCAAGATTCGGAGATACATTCCACTGCTCCTGACAGGTTTATCCCAGACTCACTGAAGGATGGGTCAAATACATGTAGATGACCATAATAAAAACCATAGTACATGTTTATAATAATAATAATGATAAACTAATTACTAAGAACATGAAAGATTTCTGTGATGTCGTTCTGCCCTAGTTTCCATCAGCAAGATAAACTGAAGTTGAGGAAATGTGTCCTTTGCATTTGACCCATCCTTCAGTGGCTCTGGGTTAAACTTAAGCCCTACTCTGGTCTCCTACTTTGGTCATGGGTCATTAGTATTATGCAAACAGCAGGGTCACTCTCTGTTGCCCCTCCCGCCTTTTCTCTCTCTCCTCCCCTCTATTCTCCACACCTACACTGTTTGTTCTCTTCTTCTCTCCCTCTTTATCTTCCCCCTCTTTTCTTCTGTCTCTCTATCCCTCCAACTCTCCTTCCATCCATCCCTCCATCCACCCCTCCCTTTGTGTAAATACACTGAAAACTTGCATTGGGAGGGTCAGACACATCAGGACTCAGCTCAGACCCCTTGAGTGTGACGTAAACATTGCTGCTGTTTAGAGACAAACACAGACACACTTCTCTTTATCAGAAGAACATCTCATTACAGACAATTCAGGTTTAAGGCTTCAAAATCAGCACCAAAACTGTTCTAAACGTCACCAAAACACGATCCGGTATCAGGACAAATCTCTGCTTTCATCTCTTCCTTTTAAAACTTTAAACCTTAACTTAATGACTTTTAGACACATGCAGTATCACTGTCACTGCTCTAGTTGATTTTTTGCAGCTGATGTCATCAATGTCATTCCCTGGGAGTGTGATGCCAACTGGGGGCGCTGCTCTCTCTGAAGCTCTGTTAGATTTTAATCTGAAGTGTGGATTTAGATGGAAATACAATAGGTGAGCAGATTTGTGTCGTTAAACAAGTCTCTTGCGCATAAAAATAACAAGCTAGTTAGCATAAGCAATAGTCTTTTAACAAAAAAGTGAGTAACTGACAAACACCTAAACAGCACCATGAATGCGCATATTGATCACAGGCTCTTGAAAATGTGCTGTTCATTTTCAGGTGTTTTCAGACCATCTTAAAACGTTTTGGACAATTTTGCTAATTTGTGCCTCAACTGCTGAACATTCCACCAAAGAGAACGCCCCCATTGTGATGTCACTGCAAAGTATCACAAACTGCACAAGTATACAGTATAATGGTAGAAATGTGCATTATGAACTCCATATACATTTCCTTAGCATCAAAATCAAGTTTGAATTTCATTTTAGTATCTTGACAACACTACGCTCTAGTGGTGGAGGGGTGGTAAGAGTTGCATTACAGAGAAGCAGCAGTAGTAGTAGTAGTATTGGTACAAACCAGAACACACTGTCTGCGTTTACCCCAAACACTGTTATCAGGTGAACTCGTCAGGTCTCATTAGAGTCAGTGTAAACACTACAGCTAAACAATTGATAAGATCTTAATCAAATTGAGATAATTCTCTCTAATGGTCAGTGATCAGCTTGAGTGTTTAATAGAGTAAAAGCATGTGGTTTAGAGCAGACATAAGACTTGTGAACTCTGACAAACTTGCACTGATTAAAAGTCCATCTTGTTTATGTTTATGAAAGACACTTATACCTTTTGAAGAAGAACAAAAAAACTGCCCAGCTTTACTGAAAACTAACTGAAACCAGAATCATTTAATAAAGTGTTAAATGCCTTTTTGAAGAACTGTACTTTAAGCACTACTAATACATACATTTCTGGGAGCACAGATTTTCCACTGCCCCAGTAAAGTTCCGTAGTGTCTTTACTGGTGGAGCAGGTTTTGTGAGTTTCACTCGGGCTCTGAATGCAGATTATTGTGAGACTTTAAGATGAGCAGTGAAACCAGCTCTACAAGAATGATCCCAAAATTTTCCAGAACAGGTCTGATAAATTTTGTCTCCAAATGGAATGTTACTGGAAAGAAAAGAGGGAAACTTCCCTTTGTTTAAGCCTGCTCTCTTAACAGTTTTAAAAAGTTCCTACAGTCACAACAGAACCTGTGTTGCCAGTATCTTAACCTGTATATAGAGGACACATACAAGTGTGCGTTTGTTTCTCTCACCTGTACAGCTCTGTGTTAACTGTATAATTATGTGAGAGAATGTTTCTTCCTGCACAGCGATGTGTGTGTGATGGATGAGCGATTGCATTATTTTTGGTGTCGATACGATACCAAGTACTTCTGGGGATAATTTTTTCAATACAAATACAATTTAGCATATGCTAATTACAATCAACATTTGCATATCAATCTAGTATATGCTTCGGTCTCTCACCTGTACAGCAATGCTCCTCCCGTTGGACGTGTTTATTTCACCTGTACACCCCCTCTCTTAATTGTGTTAGTTACCCTGATGATGTTAGCGTTTCTCAGCTGTATTGTGTTACCTGTCTGATATGAGGGGTTCTTTTCCTCACCTGTACAGCAATGTGTTCCGTTGGATGTGTTTATTTCACCTGTACAGTTCTGAGTTTGGTGCGTTTGCATTACCTTGATGATTATTTGATGGTGTGTTGGCTTCACTTACCTGTACAGCGATGTGCGTTCCGTTGGACGTGGCGAGCAGCGTTACTGGACCATCACCTTGATCCTGAGCGTATGCTGCTTCTTCTACTGTCTGAAACGTGCTCATATCAGGGGCCATGATCGCCACCTAAAGGATATAGAAGGAAAAGCATGTTATATCAGCTGTGTCCTCACTACGAGCGGGCTTGCATGTTAGCTGCATGTATGAATGGCTGGGAATGAATTTTAAAACACAACAACTTTACTCTCTTACCTGCTCGTCTCCTCCGTCGGCTGTTACCATGGTAAGCTGGTGTCCGCCCTGATTGGTCAGATGATGCGCCCTCTGGTGGGTGAGTTCATGTGCTGGGATCGTGATAGTCGTGCCCTCCTGCGTCACCATAGTGATAGTCCCACCCATTGCCTGAAGCTCTGCCTCCGAGATGCTCACCTGTCATGACAAAGAAGAACATTTAAAGAGGAGAGAATAGGACAGAAGTCTCAGACCATTCCAAGAACTGCTCCATCTAGGTTAAGCTTTGAAAAAAAATGTATTATGATTTCCCATCCCCCCTCTCACCTGTTGCTGTGTCCCATCCTCTTGTGTGACCAGAGCCAAGTGTTGTCTCTGGATCATCTCTGGATTTTCTGGGACAGGTTCTACTCCTGAGTCTTCTCCGTCTGCTCGTCCGTAGTTCACGCTCGGGTCATCCATTGCATCTAAAACAAAAATCAATTTCAACATTTATTAAAAACTGAGTCACACTTCCTGTTCAAATTTATAAAACCAGAGTAATGTTATGATACAGTTCTTTGTACCTGGTGGAATTTGCCGTTTAACTGTCAGATTGCAAATTTGTTGACCTGCTGGTTTATGGTCAATAGCTTTGTAATTACTGGCTCAAACCACATAAAACAAAAACTGGCACAAAATTCAACATCAGTAAATAAAAGTGAAATGAAATAAACAAAAGTGAAATTATTTTTTCACAATAGCTTCAGAAAGTGGTTCCACTACTCAACCCCAAAGATTATTGCCAGTTGAAAGGATTTAAACCTTAAGATTAATACAACATAGTACACCCCCTCTCTTCTTACCTGATGGTTCAAAGTAGGCCTCGCTCTCCTCCTCGATGGGCTCTGTGTCATTATGGGCAGTCCTCTTGTGCATTGCCAGAGTGGAGATCTGTTTGTAGGTCTTTCCACAGTGGTTGCAGTTGTAGGGTTTACAGGGCGTATGCACCACATGATGTTTGTAGAGACTCGAGTATTCTGTGAAACGCTTCTCACATCCAGGGACTGTGCACACATACGGCTTCTCTCCTGTAATACACAGATTTGTTATTACTTTGTTTGATGCATGAACAAGTAAGAATAGATTGAGAGAACAAATTACCGTATTTTACGGGCTAGTAGGCGCTCTGGATTATAAGACGCACTGTCATTAAATGGTCTATTTCCAAACTTTTTTCACAAATAAACCGCACCCTAACCCTAACAGTTCGATGGGTCAGTAGGACTTTGTTTGGCACGTTCACGGTGACTCTGGGCTTTGTTCAATTGTGGCGTGTAGGAAGGGTGTTGTCTGGGACCGCTGGATTGTTGGCGTGTTCGCAACGACTCAGTTGTGGCTCAGAGTGGCACATTGGACTTGCTTTTTCGGTTCGCTCCTCTGTTCCGTTCCTCGTCCATGTGGAGTGATGAGTGTGGCTGCGGGTGTTTGTCTGTACGCGGTCGCTGTCTGCTCCTTGCGTGTTTGCGTGCGCTGCGGGCGGCGCGGCTTTGTAGTTTACTGAAGTCGTGCTGGGACACCCTAGTGGATTCATGTATGGGGCGCTCTGGACTCCGGGGTGCGTGGACATTTTTTGATGCGGTTAGAGGCTTAACCCATTGACGGCGGATGCTGCGCAGCGCAGCGCTGAGTCCCCTGTCCGGATTGCCTGGCGATCAGCGTAACTGGTAAAGGCGGGGCCACACCTGGAAGCATGGGGGGCGTGTCCTCCTCTCACTTCCATTCACTCCCATAGAGACGCAAAACTGCCAGAGCTGTATTGTCACGTTAAACCTTCTTTATCGTGGCGTATTATTTCTCCATTGAAAAATAATCCAAATGCATCCCGAACATGTTCCCATCAAGACCTGGTTTGAAGTAACAAACGTTGCTCTTTACTTCCAGATCAACCAGTTGATCTGTTCGCTGTTCCAGACGCTCCTATAACAGGTGCCATATCGCTGTGTCGTGTAACAAATAAACACGGTCAAACACAAAAATGCTGACAGTGACAATGATAGTGAAGACACGGACAACATTTGTGTTTGACCATGTTTATTTGTTACACGAGAACAATGGGGAAATAATACGCCACGATAAAGAAGGTTTAACGTACAGCTCTGGCAGTTTTGCGTCTCTCAAAAGAGCGCGTCTAATAGCCCGGAAAATACGGTATACTTTTTATTAAATTTAATTGTAACATGACACATTTTTATATACAATTTTCTTAATTTTAAATAACAACATTATGTTCTGCAGTAGTAGCAAAAGTAGTAGTATTTGTAGTAGCAGTAGTTAAAACAACTTATTGGAAACCCTAAGTCCCTCTAAAGTACAAATGGCTTTGGGGAAACATGGTAGGTGAAAACAAGAATTTTTAGAGCACTGATTAGCTACACGGCAATACAGGATTACTCAACCATGCATGAATCAAACAAAACATAACTTTTGAATAAGATTATGATGAGGGATCACTGTTAGAACATGGTTAACACATCTGAAAAGACGCTTCTGCAGAACATACAGATGTGTTGCGCATCAGTGTTTTTAGTCAAGAGTAGACTGCAGAGACTTGTCTTTTAATCCCTGGTTCAGGCCCTGGTTTAAATCCTTGTTTATTCCCTGGTAGTTTGGTTCTTTATTTAGCCCCGTTTTTACTCCCTTGTTTTAGTCACAGTTTTGAAAAACAATCTAATTGTGAGTTTTAAAGAAGACATATTGTGCTTCTGTTTGCTATATAGTTATAATCTCACACCCATGGGTCATGATGTAATAATTTGGACATTTAAAATCACAATAGTCATCTAAAACTACAAGAAAACAGAAGAACCAAAACTGCCAACTTCCGTATTAGAAAATTGTGGTGCCCAATAGGAGCTGCCATTGCCGTAAACGTCATCACAAGACACAAAAGTCGGCACTTCTGATGGAAAGCTGCACTTCACGCTAGTGAACAGCTGATTTCTTTTCTCCATGTGTAAAAAAATGACTATGCGACATTATTGAATCCTATGTGTAGCACTGATTAAGAGATTAAGATTAAGAGAACGAAGTAGAGAGGAGTGGGTGTGTACCGTGGACAGTGAAAATGGGAGTCGATTATCAATATGGAGTCTTGAAAATAAGAGATTAAAGATTGCTCAAATATGTACAAATCACTCCAAATACAAATTTGAGTGAGTAAATGGTGAAGGGAAACAACTACAACATGGTTAAAAGTCCTGAAAAGTCGATATTGCAGAATAGGTCTGCTTTAAGTATTGGGATTTAATTTTCAGTCCTTAGACCTACCTGTGTGTATCCTCATGTGGTTCTTGTAGTTCGTGGCGCTGGCAAAGCTCCTCCCACAGCTGGGCTCAGAGCAATAGTACGGCCTCTCTCCTGTGTGAGTCCTGATGTGAACTTTTCTAATGTTTGAGGTCGTGAACGACCGACCGCAGCCCTCCACTGGACATTTAAAAGGTTTCTCTCCTAAAAAACATGAGGTGAATTAAGAGGAGAGACAAAGGAAAAGAGCCAAAAGAGCAGAGCGAGAGGTGCAGTGGTAGTACATTGTACCTGAGTAGGTCCTGGTGTGTTGCAGTAGCAGTAATAGTAGTAGCAGTAATAGTATTCATAGTTCTTGTACCTGTGTGTGTCCTGGTGTTTCTGCAGGTCTCCAGACGTTTTAAATGATTTGCAGCAGTTGAGTTCTTGACACCTGTACGGCTTCTCTCCAGTGTGAGTCCTCGAGTGGCTCTTCAGACCATAACCTGAAACATATGAACCACTCCTCAGTCTCACCCAGTCTCAAATCATTTATTTTGTGAATCCGTTTAAGAGCTGAATCAACATAAGATTAAAGCCATAGTATTTAATTTTGGGCCAAAAAAATAGACTAAAATCACATGGAGCCTTACTGAGGGGGCTTGTCTCTCCACAAACCTTATTCTATTTGGTTTGGAGGAAAACCTTGAAATGTTGTTTCTTTGGCCGTAACATTCCACAGTAAGGCATAAAACTTGTTTATTGTCATGGAGAATGTTCTGAAGGTTTTAACTTTATATTTCCATGGAATTATGCAGGTGACATGACATCAGCAGAAAGTTAAAGTTTTGATAAACCTCTTTTACCTGTTGCAAACTTCTTTCCACAGCCTGGATATTCACAGATGTAGGGTTTGTCCCCAGTGTGTGATCGCTCATGGACCTGAACATTCACACAGGTTAGAACCAGAGGTACAGAAGCATAAATATCAATGGCATAGTACACACTTTGAGATGGTGTGCTGTGGTGTAGAGTTTCCCGCATCCTTCATAGTCACATCTGAAGGCCTTCTCTCCAACATTTGTCATGCGTCTGTTATCGTGACCTTGAAGTACAATCTGAATAATAAAATACACAGTTAGGACCATTTTAAAATACAGAAAATTAAGTTAAATCTGACATGATCTCTCACTCTCATGTGAACGCCGTTGTCCGTCTCCACTCGACCAAAGGGAACCAAAGGGTTTTCTATGTTCTCAACCTGTAACAGAAAAAGAGGCTGTGTTTTAAATGGCATTACAGCATTCTATAAGCTAATCATATTTAAGACAGATGGGGGCAATGGACATTGTTCAAATGTAGATTTCTCTTGTAATACAGTTCTTGGGTCTAGTCAATAAGAGAGATTTTGAGTATTTCATGATCAGGTATAATGTAATCAATAGATATTCTCCAGCTGACATCAGCATTTCCTGAGGTGTGAAGCCAACTGAAGGCACTGCTCTGTCTGAAGGTATTACTCAAGTTAGAATTTAATTTGAGCTTTGTTTTAGCACAATCTGGCCATAAAAATGAATTACCATATTTTTCGGACTATAAATCGCACTTTTTTTCACGGTTTGGGTGGTCCTGCAACTTAAATTCCGGTGTGACTTATATATTAAAATTTTCACAATGACAGCCGAGAGAGGGTGCTCTAGGCTTGTGTGTCAGCATCTGCTACTCCTATTACTTCTGTACCCCTATCACTTCGTCCTCTGCTGCGCATGTCTCCTGCAGAAAGGGCCTCTGTCCTGCTGCAAGTAGTAAAATATGCAGCCAAAAACTGTATCGAGCAGCAGAAAAAAAATTTGGAGTGAGCAAGAAACTTGTGAGGGACTGCCGGAAAGCAGGGATGGAGAGTACAGCTTCACAGTAACTGGGAGGGTGCGCCATGCAACTTTCAAGGAAGTCATTGGTTGGATCCACAAAGCATGGGCTTGAGTGCCAACTGAAACCATCCTGTTGGGATTCAAAAATGCAGGAATAATTCTAACTGGAACTGATGCAGAGTCTGATGACAGCTACACAGAAAAGTAGTTGCTCAGCGATGCTCAGAAGTGTCACCGAGGATGAAGAATTCAATGGATTTAGTGATTTAGGGTAAGATGGAGTTTGGTAAACTTGTTGCTGTCTGTGCTATAGTTATCTGAATAACTATTAATATGTGACGTTAACAGCCTGTTGTTCTCTATTCTATTGTTATATTACTATAACTTGACTTTCAAGATGAAATGTTGGCTCCCGGTCTCTAATTTTATAATATAAATTTCCCCCAAAAAGTGCGACTTATATATGTTTTTTTTACTTCTTCATTATGCATTTTTTGGCTGATGCAACTTATAGTCCAAAAAATAAGGTAACTGGAACTACAGCAGGTTAGAATTATACTGTTGAAGTCTCTCTCAAATAACATTACAGTCACAAGCTAGCTAGCATTAGCTAACAGTTTGGGATACTGGAGGATGAGAGGGAACTCTGTACCTTGGTGGTGTATTGCTCCAGGACACTGATGGTCTCGGGGTCTATAGCGCCTTCCGCCTGCAGGTCGGCCACTGTGCCATCGGCTTGGATGGCGAGGATGGTATTGGACTGGGGCATGTGCACAGTATGTTGGATATAAGCCGTGCTCCCATCCTCCAACTGCACCTCCTGCAGACCTGACTGTTCATACGAATCTGAGAAGAGAAAAAACAAGAATCTTTATTTCAAATCAATGTCTGGGGTTAAATCTCACCTCATTAAATAGAATAGTAGAGACAAATCAACTATTATAGTCTTTAGGTGGTAACTAAAGCTGTCAAAAAACAAAACTGCAATCAATAGAAAATAAAAAAAAACACAATATAATGATTTTATCAAGATAACAGATAGTCACAGAGATGAGATCCCTAGTTATTAGTAATTTCTACCTGAATCTGGTAAACTCATATACTGATTTTTTGTAGTGAAGAAATGCTAAAGGTTGAAGCACTGCAAAAATTGTAATGTTGAACGATTTGGGGGGATAAAATTGCGATTTTTTTGTGATTAGATTTGCAACATGTTTAAAAAGTTGATTTCAAACATTGTAAACGAGTGCATGTTTGTAGAGGTCTAAACTACATGTATATAATAGGGCTGGGCAAAAGCAGCATGAGTTTGAGTGTGATTAATCGAATGTTATACGCAAAACCAACTAATGAATAAAAAATAGTGTATAGCACACTTTTATTAGAAATGAAAATGAAAGAGCCTTACATTTGTTGTGCAAACAGCATTTCTTTCAGAGGGGAACCTACAGAGCCTTCAAGGCATTCTCAAGGCTCAAGAAAAAATATTGAATGGATTTTTGTACTACTAATACATTTTTTTCAATTTTTTTTATTCAGTGAGTAATAAACACTACACTAGTAATCATTTGTAGATCACTGTTATAAACTTGGACTGATATTTCTTGGGAATCAAAGGGTTAATATAATGGCATAGAAATGGACCAATCGCAGTTGTTCTTCCAATGGTATCTGGGTAAATCAGTGACTGAGTTATGAGCGGGATCATATCACGAAATCTTCGGGGCCTTCGCGAATACCCTGTGATAGCATTATGTAAGCAAGACCGCAGCGACGAAAACCACACTGGACACCTCTATTTGGACACCTCAGGAGCGTCTGGAAGAAGGAGAACAAAGAGAAAGACTCGTGAACCGGAGCTCGCACCCCGGTTGGAGCTCAGAGCCCACGGCCAGGCCAAGCCTCTCACGTGGTCAGAAAAAAGTGAAAAAGGTGTAAATAAAAGACGTGAAACTTAAAGAAACGCACGCGGTGGACGTTTTCAAAATAAAAGTCAGTGAGGAACAGATGTTTACAATAAAAATAAGAAGAAGAAGAACTGCGTTAACGGCGGTAAAATAATTGTCGGTGATAATTTTGCGTTAACTAATTAATTCATTAACATGTTAATGTGCGCGGCCCTAGTATATAAAAACAGTTTTCTACTAAAACATTGGCTATTTAGTGTTTTTTTTGTTAACTGAGGGCAATCAATCATTTAAAAAAAAAATATGGATTTTGGGATTTAATCATTTTACCAACTTAAAATTGAGCTTTATTGCCAAAGATGTGACAAAGGATACAGTGAAAAGTGCAGTGGTTTTACCTTTGGGGGTGTGAATGTAAGCTGTGGTTCCATCCTCCAACTGAACAGCCTGACCATCCTCTAACTGTAGACCATCTCCTAATGAAAAATTCAGAAAATATAAGAGGAGCAGAGGAGAGGAGGAGAGGAGCAGAGGAGCAGGGGATGCAGAGGAGAGGATAAGACGTTACCTGCTTTGGGCACAGACAGGTGTTGTACATAGGCTGCAGATCCGACCTCGAGCTGGATGACCTGTCCGTCCATGAGGTGAGGTTCAGTGAAGGCTTTGGAGTCATGTTGAAAGTGGATAAGCTGTCCGTCCATGATCTGAGCCTCGGGGAACGGTTTGGAGTCATGTTGAATATACGCCGTGGAACCATCTGCCAATGTCACAGCCTGAAGACTCACCGTGTCCACGCCTTCCATCTGATCTCCATCTGAGGGACACCAGAACAGGCATCAGGGTTACATAAGAAAAATAATGTTTTGAAAAATCTGATTCAGCATATGCACTTGGAGATTTGTGTTCAAATGTAAAGTGTGTTATAAATAAAATTCTTGACAAAGAAATTATAAAAAAAATCAAGTATATAATGAAGTGTATAAAAAATAATGCGATTATAATTAAAACATATAGTGATAGTGAAATGTTTTAAGTAACTATCAGTGCTAAATATTGTCTGGAAAAGTGGGCAGATAACATAAAATTGCTCTTCTTTCTGCTCCAGTTTGTTCATTTTTTCATATTTTTATCTTTATGACACCGTTGATGTCATAAATAACATGGTAATTATCATTACCTGCCACAGTGACTGTCTCAGTCAGACACAGAGTGACCGGTTGACCATCGGCATCCTGAAACTCTGCCATCCCCTGAGCGTCGCCACGGTTTATCTGTGCTAGGAGCATTATTCAGCTACAAAAAGGAAATACAAGAGATTAACATTTAAAACTATAAATACACTGCTATAAAACATTAACTAGGAGCACTATTCAGCTATGGACAGAAAATATAACAGATATTAAACATTTAATGGTTCTATATTAAGCAAAATGGATTCTTGTAAGATTTAAGCCATGTTATCATGCAGTTGCCTCAAATTCATACCCAGTCTTCTTCCATTCAGACATGTTTGAACAATCCTTTATTATTAATCTGTCTACAGCTCGAAATGCTCTGTTAGACTTAGACAAACTTCCCATAAGGGAAATTATTTGGACACAGTAGCTCACACACAATATAATATAATAAAGAGTTCCACCTTGTGATGTCATGTAGTGGTAGTTTTCAAGTTAACAACTACCTTGGCAATTCCAGGGCTGAAATTATCCAAATGACTGTATGGAGTTTAAAACACAGTGGAGCACTTCCTGTATTACCACATGACCTCACAAAGTTGAAGTGTTTTTAGTTTCAGAAAAATCAACCTACATATGGGAATGGGAAATGCGTGAATGAAACATAACACAACTCCCGGTATTTTGATGAGAAAACATCATTACATAGATCAGAAAAAAGGCATATTATGAGCCCTTTGAAACGGCAATTGCATAGCAACATACACAGGAGTCAGGAGCATGCTTCAGCTCAAAACTAAATATAACAAACATCTAAAATAATAATTACACTGCTAGATATTATAACAGGAGCTAGGCACATTATTTAGCTGAGAGGAAACAAAGAAATAAATGCACTGAAACAGTGGTCAGAAACTTGCATCGGCTACAAAAAGAAAATGCATGAGCTGAACTTCTGTCGTTGTAAAATATGAATCTTTGTCCAAGTGTATCCAAAGTAAATTATCACAAGGAGTTTTATCAGCCTGGCACACTGGTGCTGCACTTGGTAAACCAGTTTATTTCTCTTCAAGTTATTTCCAAATGATCATAAAAGACAAAAAATATTGTTGTCTCATTTTGTTTATCTGGTCATTTTAAACTAATTGACTTAGCCAGGCTAGAGTGTTATACCACACACATGCTGTGAGTGTAGTGACTCAGAGTATGTGTAGTAAGTGTTTTGCTCAAAAGGCACAAAAACAGTTAGGTCAGAGCAGGAGTCACACCCACAACCCTCTTGTTTGGAGAAAGCCACCAAATCTTAAGCACTCATGTCTGTTGTTTCTTTAAAAACACAATTTAGAAGACAATTGTAAAGGGTGTAGGGCATCCAGTCTTCAAATATTCTAAATCATATTTTGTATATTTTGAAACACCATAAGCATCATGCATTTATGTGATCAAATATATATTAAGACAAGTGGACCATAATTGGCAAATAATTGGGGGGTTCTGTTCAGACTCTCCCAGGTTCATCCGCAGTGGTCAAACTTTGTGCATGTACGAAACCATCTGTGATACTGAGGATTTCGTATTAAGTTGCAGTCTAACACATATATTCAAGTCCCACATTTACCATCTCAAAGATGGTTTCTGATGTCATTTTTTGTAACCACATTCCTTTGACCATGTACATCTTTGGCTCTGGTGTAGTCAATGGTGTAAACACATTTGGCATGTTTGCAGATATCTGATATTGGGACTCATCAGTTTGGCGCTTGTCCTGTCACATTCTCATCTGATAGGTGAAGTTACTTTTGGTTAGACCATAACATGTCACTGCATTTTATCTGAAAAGAGTTTGTGACTGAGGACCATAAGTTTTAAAAGGTCAAATCCTCTGATCCTGAAGCACAGCTTGTGTTGGACTGGAGCTAACGTGTTAGCCGCATGCTACCTGCTGCTAACTCCGCCAAAAGCAGCTCTCACGGCTCTGAACAAGGAATCACTTCGGGTCCCGTTTAATATTAAAATTGCATTCTCTGAGCCGGTTTAAGTTCAGTAAAAGTCTAAAGTTGTAGCCTGTTTGTAGCTAGAGGCTAGCGCATTAGCCTCGTGTCAAAGTGGAGCTAAAGGCGTTCAGAGCCTACGCTCAGAGCCGCGCAGTGAAAACAGCTCCGTAGGCTCATAAAGATCACATAAGCCTCTCCACTCGCTGCTGGACACTTTATTTCACGGTAAAACGCCGTGATTCTCCGCCGTGTTTGACTCCCACGCCGCCGCCTGTCAGCCCCGCTCCTCGGAGGCGGCTGTGGGAATAATGCACACTGGGTAAAAACCGATTTATACACTAACCTCCAGAAATTTCCAACAATTCCTCCTGTTCGACCACCATGCACCAGTGCAGGAAACGGTCCGCGGAGCCCGCCCCGGGAACATGAATGGTGTCAGCGGCCGAGCCTGCGGAGCCCCGCCTCCGGAGCAAACACGCCCTGAGATTGGTCCAAGAGGGAAAAGAGCGCAAGGCCATTGGTCCACACAGCTGTCAATCACATCTCCTGAAGCCCCAGATCGGGCATCGCAGATTCTAGCTCAATGCTACAGCTCGTGTGATGCTAAGTGGTGTTTATGCTGCATTTAAAGATTATTTTCAGGACGATTTGAACATCACCAATGTTCAGGAGGACGTCGTGTTTATTCCGGACCCATTAAGCCACACAATTTACAAAAGAAGTGTAATATGAAAGATTTAAAGAGCGACTCCCGTCTGTTTTTAGCATTAGCTCCCTTTAGCATTTGTTCCACGTTACGTCACACGAATAAAAATGACCTAAAATTCAAACTTTGTCCTTTTTATGTTGACTTTCTTCACATTCGTTACACACGCTAACACCTTTACTCTCTAAAGACCGTATAAAACCCTGTGTAAAGTCCGCGGGGCATTTAAAACTTGCCTTTGGAACGTTTAACTGCTTATTTACACCGAGCCGCGGTTTCGTTAGTCTGGTTCCCGGGCTCCCGACAGGCGCCATTCCGCGGCGGGTTCGTATTGTTTTGGACTTTTGACCGAAAAGAAGCAGCGTCCTCGATTAAATCTGACTTTCATCACATTATACGCTCTGATCCCTGTCTCCTGCCTTTGTTTGCCCTGTTTCTCCCCGCGCAGAGCCGTGAGAGCCACGATCCGGGTTCACAAACACCGGTGCAGCGAAGGTTTTCGGTGTTTTTGGGCTCCATGTTGAACCGGGGCCTGTGGGTAAAACCGGGGCGTGTGGGGGATGCAGTGAAGCCGAGGCCTCTGGGAGCAGATGTAGGCGAAGAACTGGGAGAGCAGCGGGGGTCTGCAGCCTGGAGATGTAGTTTAAAGGGCCTATGTTATAATGTTCTTCGTAATATATAAAACTGGAGTTTTACACACAAACCCTGCATATTTAGTTCTTCTCTCAAACTGAAAACACTGTTCCACTTGCTGATGTGGTAATACAGGAAGTGCTCCACTGTGTTTTTAAGATCCATACACCTTCACTATAGTCATTTGGATGATTTTAGCCCAGGATTCGCCTATCTATTGAATAAAAGATAAGTGTTAACTTGAAAACTACCGCTTCATGGTGTCAAAAGGTGGAACAAAGCATCTTGAGCATTGAAGAGTAATAACAAAGGGGAATGTGTGAATAAAACAAACAACTCCAAAGATATTTTTGAGGAGGTAACAACATTCTAACATGGCTTAAAGATCACAAAAGTCAATTTTACATAATATAGGACCTTTAATATAGGAGTTATATTTTATGGTGACCTGACGTCCCTGTTTACCCAGGACAGTCCCAGTTTTGAGCCCTGTGTCCTCTGTACCAGCAAATTCATCCAAAACCAGTGATTTGTCCTAGTTTTATACAAGAAATGTGCCAGGTGTACTTATTTCTGGAGATTATATTGCCATGTTTTTAATAAAACACAGAAAACTGTGTTTGAAAATGACCATAAGGCAAAAAAAGTGAATTGCATCAACAGAAGTCCCTCAGATTATGACTACCCCACAAGTGAATCGAGAATTTCACAATTTTATTTATACCAACCATCCCTACCCAGTGTGTCCAAGTTTTGAATTTTGAAAACCTTGTTGCCTTATCAAAATTGACAGTATCAAATATCAACTCACCAATACAGATATAGATTCAGCCCTAATACAACAAACTATACTCATACTGTCAGAAAAGGAGTTGCTCAAGTACACATGGTGACCCTGGTCAGAGCAAAAATCATACTCCCAACCTCCTGTTTCCACTTAATCTTATCCATCAAAGTCTGTGCTTTACATACAATGTAAGGAGACAAATTTTGATTATCTGTATCTACTAGATTCCCCACATGATATCTGAACTCATATTTTGAGTTTTTGAGAACATGAACCAGATTAAGCAAAACACATATCAGAATGTATTTTTATTGTCCTATAATAAAAGACCTAAATTATGTTTCTTCCAGAGACAATAAATTACCTTATTTGATTTTCACAGATTTCAATTTATTTGTAATATTTACATCATTAATATTTACAGATACAAATTGCAAATTACACAAATCTCCATTTTCTGCACATCAGCATCAGTCAGTTTTAAGTTAAATTTGCACATTCCTTTGTTTCTTCATTGATAATATAATCCTGGTCTGACTCAGATTTGAGTCCTCTGGGTAAGTCTTCTGCTCACACTGCAGAATATTTAAATAAAACATAATTTGGAGTTGTGCAGTGAGAGTCAGTCTGATTAGTTGTGCCTTTAAACCGCCTCCTTAAACATGTACAGTTGTTTCGACATTTAAAGTGATCATCGCCTCTGATTCACTGTGTGTGGACTGAACACTTCACTTCTGAAAAATAAAAATACAAAGTTCTGTTCTCGTTATTGTAATTTTACATAAGTCCATTCTTCATTCCCTCCTCCCTATTTTGTGACACCACCAAGCCTAGCAAGTCTGCTCACAGTAAGAATGCATGTTTTCCAGCAATAAAAGAAATAAAAAGTACAGATGGGCCAATTAGGATTTTTGGAGCCGATAATGATATTAGCTATTGGCCTGCTGCTGTGGTCCATAACAGATATTTGGTAATGCCAATAATTAAGAATGCAGCAGTGCAGGAAAAATATTGGTATCAGATGTCCATACTGGGCAATACTGGAACTGATATATAAGCCATCCGAAATAAAAACACTTCACTTGCTTGCCCCTTGCTCGCCCTCCGCCCTCAGGCTGAACGGTTCGAGTCTCTCGCCCTCTGGCAGCATGTTGTTCAATCTGTCCAGCAGGGGCAGTGTCTGGTCAATGCCCATCTGGACACGGCGCAGGATCATGGACATCTCGTTGACCTTTTGGATCTGTTCAGCATATTTAGCGTAACGTTTCTGCCGCTCCTGCATCAGGCTAAACAAGGCCTCTACCGACAAGTCCATCTGTAAATATATATAAGAGAAACCAGGTATAAATCAGGTCTATACTAGGACTAAAACAGGAGTAACACTGCATCTCCACAGATGTGTCCTGTAACTTAGTCTGATAGCATAATTATAACCTATAACCTGTTATTATAACCTATAACCTGTTATTATAACCTATAACAGTTCCACACACCCCTACACTTTGTTACAATTCTTTATTTGGTTAAATATACTTTGTGGTCTTATCTTGTTTTTTTGTTGTTGTTGTTTTTATTTTTGTTTTGTTTGTCTTCCTCTTGTATAATTAACTGCACATCACCAATATATATATTCAAATACACACATGACTGTGAGTATTTCAATATATTAAAGAAGTATAAAAAAAAAAGTCCTCAAAAAACAAAAAAACAAAAAAACTAGTCTCCATGGAGACTCCATGGAGGTAAAAGATGCCAAGACCACCATTCATTTGATATTCAAAAACTTCATCTAATTGGTCCATTATTCCTGTGACACACTCAGAGGGTATTGACCACATTTGTAAATACTAAATATACAAAATATACATTGTAAAATAAACGTTAGTGTAGTGTAAAACTGACTTCTAACCTCTTTGATGCGTTTGACAAGAGCATTCTGGTCAAAAGCCACAGCCTCAGCGCACTGATGCAGATGCTGCTGATAACGAACACAGAGCTGTAGAACCTGAGCTGGGTCCAGTCGGTCCAGAGAGAGAGAGGAGGGAGAAGTTTGACCACTCAATACACCTATAAGAGAGAGGGAATAAAGGTAAGAAAGAGGAAAGAGAGGGGGAGAGGGAGGTTTGACCTCTGAATACACCTGTAAGAGAGGGGGAACACAAATAAGTAAGAGGAGAAAGAGGAAGAGAGGGAGGTTTGACTGCTCAGTGAATACACCTGTAAAAGATTAGTACAAGTATGAATGGAAAAAGAGGGAGGAGGGGAGGTGAGAGGAAAGGGAGAGGCCTGACCACATAATACACCTGTGGGAGGGAGAGAGGAGATTGTAGAAATCCTGTAGTTTGAAGTGAGCTGGAGGACAGGTCAGAATTCTATGGTAAAATTTGCTGTTTGACAGTTCAGCATCTTCTCTGTCAGTATAAAGATGTGATTGTTGACAGTTGAAATGATTATAAAGGACTTTCATTCATAAGATTAATATGACAAGTTTGTGGAGCCAATCCAAAAAAAAAAATGATTAAGTTCAACATTTATGGATCATAAGTTGGGTATTTCTTTGAAAAACAGCGAATCTCCAATAGAGTTATATGGACCCCAGCCCTCCTTCATCTTTGATCTCCGATCTTTACCTTTGAGCAGTGGCTGAAATGTGGGGATTTCCTGTAGCTTTATCACGTCCGGGTCATTGTGAATGTTCCTCAGACTCTGGGTTCCTGGAGCCACCACCACAATGTCGTCCATCTTGGCTCTCTGCTTCGCTGGAGAAGGTGCTGAAAGGAAAATAAAACTAGAAAAGCACTCAGAGAGCGCAGACCTCCGCCAAGGACTACCCCCATTTTTTATATAAATTACGATAAAATCAGTCTTCTGGATCAGATCCGGATCAGCCTTTGGAATATGAAAGAGGATCCCATTGTCTATCCCTGAGTCAAATTTCATGGGGTTTGGTCAATAATTTACCGAGATATTGAGAAACAAAATTTTTGGCCCCATTTACCACAATGTTAACTAAAATTTCAAAGTGATCCAGAATCCAGGATTTCTTCCGGATCACCCCCAAAATGAAATCAGTTCTTCCTTTTCACATTTCCAACAAATCCTGAAAATTTCATCAAAATCGGTCCATAACTTTTTGAGTTATGTTGCTAACAGACAAACAAACAAACAAACAAACAAACAAACAGACAAACGCCGGCAAAAACATAACCTCCTTGGCGGAGGTAACTACTGATTTACTCCTCTGCTCCTTTGACTCTCTCCTCTGCAACCCACGTTACATCTGACCCTCTCCTCTATATCTTCTGATTCATCTGACCCTCTCCTCCCCTCCTCTGTATCCTCTGCTCCATTTATATGTTCTGTTCTTACCCGCAGATCCATGATCGAGGTGTTTATGTTCAGAATCCGCGCTTTGTTCCGCTCCCATCCTCAGAAATATGCTATTACTGTTTTTACAGCGAATACAGCTATACGCTAGGAATTTCTACCATTTAAATAAAACCTTTAGTATTATTACCAACAAGAACCGAAAATATAAGACTTTTACCATCAGATTCTGAAGCTAACCTCGGCTACATGAATGAAAGTTCTCCTTTTGTGCTTTATAACGGATTTTAAATCGCAAATTAACCCAAGATAACCACAGAAAACGCAGCGCAAATATATGTTGCTCAGTTCGAATGTTAAAACGGACATTTAAAACTGGTATTAAATCCAATTAAATCCTAAAGTGCTGCATCGTCTTGTCAAAAAAATGACCCGCTACTTCCGTAAATACGCGTCACGTGACTGGCAGACCGGAAATTGGTGGTTTTTTTCACTTTCTTTGCGTTGTATTTTTCATTCTTTTTATCTTATATATTATACTTTTATATTATACTTAAATATATTGATTATTTTAAATAATTTTAAATGTTGTATTATATCTTGTTTACAATTTACAAAACAATTCAATAAAAAAAAATCTTAAGAATTCTTTATTTCCACTTTTAATATATACTTAATACCCCGTGAATGGAAGGAACCATTCAATTGTAAAGTTAAAACAGTGAATTGAAACAAACTTTACATATTACTTTCCATTCATATTTATTTTAACAGAAAGTCAAGATTATTCTGAAATGTCAGTGCAACAGCAAAAAGTTAAAAGGTGTATAATCGTAAAATTGTCAAAGCATTGTTATCTGTAGTTAATTTTTGAATTACAAACTGTATTTATAAATGTCTAGACCAGAACAGTTAATATTAAAATATGACAATACAGATCGTTTATAAAACTTTGGAACATTCTTAAAATACAATAAAACTTGAATTTTATGAACATACTGAACATTATTTTCAAACAACAATGCTTCAATGAACAGGAAAGACAGAAAGTTAATAAGGAGATAAGGGTAAGCCTGTCACGATAATTACATCAACTTCAGTCGTTCAATATATGAGATAAACCAATGTTATTTTATGTTCTACATTAACAGTTATTACAGGTATGTGGTTCACTGTGCTGTTTTTTATTGCTCATTTCTCATGTTTTATTTTCTAAATGAACCCATTTAGAAAAGTGCTGTAGTCTTGTAGTCATTCAGTTGATTAATCAGTCGATGGAGTCTAGGTCGACCAAAATGTGTAGTCTTATGAGTACAGTTTGGGTCAGATACACAAAGATGTGTAACAGTTTTGAGAGCTTTTGCCATGCCCCCTTTTTAGTCAACTAATCAATTAGCAGGTAACGTCTTTACTGCTATACTGTCTTGACAAAAGACCTACTTGGAAAAGTAGTTAGTGGTATTCTCCTGGTTTAGGGTTATTGTAGCAGTGTAATTAATTATAATTTATAATTATTATCATTTCAATGTAATCGTTATCATAATATTTCCTGTAGCAAAATGATCACAATTGGAATGTAGTTATCGTGAGAGGAGCACAAATGCTTATGGAGTTACGGGAGATTGATGGCAGTCTGAGGCTTAGTGGCGGTGGCCATTTTGCGAGTGTTGCCCGTTGTCATTGTCAGCGAGAGGATACGGGCGCAGGTCAAGGGTCAGAATACGACTGAACATCCACTCGTCCAACTACACAGAAGAAACATGGACATAAACTTTAATAATCTTTGAAAATAAAAACTCTTTTGGGAAATGTCTAATTAATGGACCATGATGTGAGGTAGAACTATATATTTGGGTCAGATGTAAAATCCCCATGATAGTAAATATGTGTCTCCTATAATCACCTTGCTATTTCACTATAAACTAATAAAACTAACAATGCGAGTGGTGATAGACTTAAATGTTTTGCGTTGGCAGTTACATCAGTATAGACTCCCAGCAGAGCGTCGGCTTTGGAGAAAAACTCCTCCTTCAGAGAAATGACAATGATCTGCAGATTCTGTCGGGACTCTTCTCGGATAAAACTGGTCACCTGAAAATAAACATGAAACAAATGGAAGTCTAATACTTAAAATATCTGTCAAGGACTCTAACCTAAACCGATAACGTTAATACCACAAACCAGTTGTTTATTGTTATTGTGACTTGGGTTTCTTGTTTTGCAAAGTCTTTTGCAAATTTTGAGTTGCCATTAGCATGCTTCTGAGATGCATTTTCACATCATAAAAGGGGTGATTTTTATCCTTTTTTCAGCATAATTTTTTATCCTGTTTCATAATAAAAGATCTAGTATTGAATCATATACAGGATATTAAACAATAAACAAAGAGTAGCAGTGTTACTCTGGCCCAGAGTGTAGAAAATTATGACACGCAGTGGAGTGTGAGTTTGTGGGTGCGGAGTCATACTTTTCCAATGTTGGAATTGTCCAAAGCTGCATCCACTTCATCCAGGATCAGGAACGGAGCTGGACGGTAACTGAAACACAGGGCAGTTTGAACAGGGCTACAGCAGTAATAATCCACTATTTTTCTTATACATTAAGGTTAGTTTTTAATCCTACAAAATAATTATGTCTATCATGATTTCGATAATAAAGAATACTCAATATCAATTCCAATACTAAGATGATAATAGACAACAGAATGTGATTTTCAAAATGAAATCAAAGCATTTTCTTTTATATTACCATGTGATCTTATATCACTGTAATCCCTCAGTGGTCCAGGTAGGCTCATTCTAAAGCTACTCAGGAAAGGTTCATTTCTGTACTGTGAATAGGATTTTTTTAATATCGATACCTGCCCAAATGAGTATCTAGTTTTGGTATCAACTAGTATCTGCTTTTCAGTACTTTTGACAACCCTAATACAACAGTCAACTCAGTTTCATTTCTAGAGAAATTTAAAACAAAGACAACCAAACAGGTGCACAAATTCAACTGAACCCATAAAAGCCAAGGAGAGAAAATTTGTCTTTAGAATGGAATGCGGGTAAAAATATGCCAACTGAAGTCTTCTAGAATATTATGAATAGAATATTTATGAACAAAGTGTATTATAGATGAGTTTAAAAGAAAGTGGAGTCTAAACCTGTGTATGGCGAAGACAAATGCAAGCGCAGCCAGAGCCTTCTCTCCTCCAGACAGATTATCCATTGACACGAACCTTTTCCCAGGAGCCACACAGTTATAACTGATGCCGCCCAAGTACGGCTCCTCTGGGTTCTCTGCACTCAGGATTGCCTTCATCACAGAAGAGACCAAATTTAGACTAGGGTTAGAAACTGGTTCAGTACTGGTTCATATCTGGTTCGGTCTTGATTTAGACCTGGGTTATACCAGGTTTAGTCTTGGTTCAGTCTTGGTTTAGTCTTTGTCCTGGTGTTTTCCTGGTTGAGTCCTGGTTGAGTCCTGGTTTTAATCCTGGTTTAGGAATTTTAGCCCTGGTTTAGAATAGATTTTGTCCTAGTTTATTACTGGATTAGTCGTGATTTAGACCTGGTTTAGTCCTGGTTTAGAGCTGTTTTAGTCCTGATTCAGTCCTAGTTTAGGCCTGGTTTAGTCCAAGTTTAGTCTTGGTACAGTACCTGTGCACTGTTGTTTCTGCAGATCCTCTTGTAGACCTTGTCGATCTTCACACACACATGTTCAAAACACTGAGTAAAGAGCTGACACCTCTGAGTCTTCACAGTCTCAAACTCCTGACTGCACCTTCGGGCCATACGGCTGCTTGCATCAAATGCTGACACAACAAAAACAGAGGTGTGTTAATTTTTTTGAATAAAATGTAACTTGTTCTAGGAGAGGAAGGCGGAGCAGGGAGAAGCCATATGGTGGGACCATGGGGAGCGATAGCCAAAAAATAAAATGCAATTTTTTTGCTCACACTGGATGTGGATTTGGTGTTTGATTTAAATCAAACACCAAAATGACATCGCTCACTGCAGCAGAGAGAGGGGCAACAATATTCCAATGTAAGTCAATGGGAGCCATGGGCACTAGGAGCCGGAAAAGCCTGCATGCAAACTTCTTATTTGAAACGTGGCAGTTAACGCATTAGCTATGTCCATTTATATATAGTGCATATGATTAGAACAGGGCTAAAGAAAGAAAAGCATCTGTGAAAATGTGGCGCCCCCACATGGACACTGATGGATACATTAGAACAGCGTTAAAGTCTCACTGCACATTTGTGTACATTTCAACACAGAACAGGGATACAGAGAGGACAGAGACCTTCCATAACATCCTGCAGCTTCTCCTTGACCTGTTTCATTTTCTCCAGAGCTTTGAGGTTTGGAGCCACGGTACGACCCAGAACCTCCTCTAGGGACAGTAGTGAGTCAGTCAGATGCTCCACACATGCCTCCACCTCCTGCCCCTCTTGCAGAGCCTGAGGATAACACAACACAAATGCAGGTAAATCTAATGATAAATCTAGAGTTTTTTGGCAACATATTTCAACTTTTAAAGAAGACATAGTGCTTTTTTGGGAGATATACAGTAATAAACTGTAATATATATCAAGATTTAACACTTTGTCCATTGCAAACTACAGTTAGAGATCAACCGATGTTTTTCATGGCCAATGCCAGTACCATTTTTAGAATGTTTAGAATCCAGAACAACCAATGGCTGATAAATATTATTTTGGGGCCAATATATAGAGCCAGTTGGATTGGATAAGGATTTGGGACCCCATTTTTGTAACCATTATTTTTTCTATTATATCTGTAGCTTCTCAGGTAGGAGAAGGATGTCGGGGTCACCAACATCTTCATGAGTAAAATGGGGGTTACTGAGAGAAAAGGTTTGGGATTATCTTCCCCAAATTATCAAATTAAAATTTTCTACAAACTCGGCTATTTTTTTTTTATTTATTTTTTTTTACCACAAACCTATAAAAGAACTGTGTAATCATGTTTTGTGCAGTTTTCTTTGAATTTAAGTGTTTAAATAAAGATTTGTGTATTATTTAAATACCAAGGTGGCCAAAGTGTGAATATTGGCATGAATTTCTAACTACAATACTGAACTAAAATGGTTTAATAATAGAAACAGGGCCAGTGAATTCCTGAGGAGTCCAGACATATTATAAAAGTCCTGAATAAAAACACAGAAGCTTGGCAAATCCCTCACCTGTACAGAGATTCACCTGTCCAGAGCCTCACCTGTACACAGACTCACCTGTACACAGATTCACCTGTCCAGAGCCTCACCTGTACACAGACTCATCTGTACACAGACTCATCTGTACACAGACTCATCTGTACAGAGACTCACTTGTACAGAACTTCACCTGTACAGAACTTCACCTGTACAGAGACTCACCTGTACAGAACTTCACCTGTACAGACTCACCTGTATGTCCTGTCTGAGGTCAGAGTAGTCAATGATGATCTGAGCTTCTCTCTCATAGATTTCCACAGTGGACAGAGTGCTCTCAGATTCTCCCTCCAGCTGAGATATGAAGAAAACATGTCAATATAATACTGTCTTATAATATGTTCACTCTGGAAGAGAACTTCAGGACCACAGCTGTGTTCATTTTGTCAATTAAAATATTTTCAGCATAGTTTTCCACAATGTATTTTTGCTGAATTAAAAAAAAAAGAACTATTATGGATTTAGTCAACTAAATATGCATAATATTTCTGTTGATTAAAATAGACAAAAAAAATAATTAAATTATGTGGATTTGACACTGAGAGGCATTTATTTGTTCGCATATGTGTATTATTTGTTAGGAAATTGTGAATTGAAAATTGGAATTGCAAATATTTGTAATAATGGTTTCTCTGCACCTGTGACACGTTGCTCAGGTCTCCTGATATAAGTCTTATGGGCAGACCCTGAATCTTGCAGCTCAGGAGAAGGTTGTGTCTGAAAAGTCGTTTTTGCTCCAACTCCGACTCCAACGTCATCACCTCCCTCTGCAGCTTCACCAGCTCCCTGGAAGAGACCAGGGTTTAAACTAAGACTGAAACAGGACTGAATCAGATCTAAACCAACGTCATCACCTCCCTCTACAGCTTCACCAGGTCCCTGAAAGAGACCAGGACTGTGGAGTGTAGAGAGATGGGTGGGGTGAGACTGAAAAAGGTCTAAACCAGGTCTAAACCAGGACTGAACCAGGTCTAAACCAGGATTAAATCAGGTCTAAACCAGGACAAAATCAGGTCTAAACCCAGTTTAAGTCTAAAGTAGACTGGGTCTAAAGTAGCTATTGTACTTGTTGATCTCTTGTAGTCTCTGCAGCCACTGGTCCAGTTCAGTTTTGGCACTGGACACTTGACGTTTCTTGGACAGAAGTTGGTTTTTCAGATCCAGGGCTTTGTTCTGTCCCTCCTCCACTGCGGCCAGAAGGCTCTCCTCGTTCTGGAAACATCACACTGATATGGGTGGTCTGAACCAGGTCTACAAACCTGTAAACCAGATCTACAAATATTTTATGCATTATCCTGATTATGTCATTTTTGGCGATCAATTAGATATGTACTAAAGCCTTTCAATCTCTTAGCTGAATTTCAAATATTGTAGAAAAAGTCAAATCACAAAGGTGAAGAACCCTTTCTGATAGAAAGATCCATCAAATATTATTCTAATTTTGTACATTTTCAAAACATCAAATATCAAAGCATTTTTTATATTATGTACTGTCATTTATGAGATAATATGTGTAATTTATGTGTATGTATGATTAAGTACCTTAAATTACAAAACATGAGGAACTGAAATCTAATGGCAACACACAGACACCCGCACGATGGTGCACTCATTTAGGTGTGGCTATGATGAAAATTTGAGTGAATGCCAGACTCAAGGCTCTGCATGGTAACATCTCCGTAATTGTACCGTATAGCTGAGGCTAGCGCTACATGCTATGTATGGTCTCGTTCACGGCAGAGTTCTTCTGTAATTACTGAGGAGCGCTTGTGTTTACTGTTGGTCACGTCAAAAGATTGATCGAAGACACAGTGAGAGGATGGCTCACTCTGAGACCAAGACTCCAAAATATCAGACAGGATTGATATCATAGCTCGTCTTTGGTCATATGCCGGTTCAGGTCTCCCTCCAAGACCAAAGACCCATAATTTTGAGACACAACACAATACAAGATTTTCCCCAAAATCAGAAATCTTTGGGCTCGAACAGACAAAATTATGCAGTGGACCCCCGTCTACTTGTGCACGGTCACTCCTCTCTCAGTATGACTGTATACTGTACACTGTGTAAGGGGTATTTGTATAAATAACTGTCTCAAACCTGAGATTGCTCCTCCACCGCTCTCTCCTCTCTCTCCAACATCTCCTGGAGCTGTTGCAGTTTCTTCTTCTGCTGTTGGAGTTGAGTCTGTTCATATTCCAGCTGAGCATTCAGACGAGCCACCTGACTCTCAAACTCCAGCCTACAGGGGGCAGCACACAGACAGTTAGGTACGCTCAGACCCTAGTACAGTCCAGCATTAGCTTTAGCATTACCTCTTCTTATCGTGCTCCATGTGGTGTTTCAAATGCTCCTGCTCATACTCTCTGATATTCTCCACTCCTATCTCCTCACAGAACTCAGCAAACACCATGTCCTCCATCTGAACAGAATGAGAACTTATTTCACTGTGTAAAATATTCAGCTGTGTGTTTTAGAGCTATGTCCTCTATGACCTGGTCCATCTGGTCCCTGATCCTCTTCAGATGCTGCTCCTTCTCCTCCAGATGTTCCTGTTGCATCAGTATTTCTGAGTCTAGGTTTGTGAGGTCACTCTTCAGACGAGAGATGTCCTAAACACCATACAGAACAGATCAGTAGCAGGGAATACTAGAATATCCGAATATCTGGGGGGTGATTTGCTGGATATACTGGTAGGCATTTCACACCTAGGCCTTCAGTAGTGCTCCGTCTGAAACAATCCACTCCTCAGTGACTATTTTATGGTTATAAAAGCATCTTATTATACAGAAACACGGTATAAGGAGCCGTGGAGATTCCGTGCACGTAGAAGTGAGGACAGGGGGGTGCACGGTGCACGGAGAAAAAGTGAGGAGCGCTGGGGTGCTAAACCAGGACTAAACCAGGACTGTTTGTCAGGACTGGCCCGGGTAGACTGTCGGGTGACCGCAGATGAAAGAACCACACCGGGCCCGGGGCTCCTCGGGACTCAGTGCAGCTGTCACCCTATCGTGCTTTGCAGACACTCTCTCTCACTCAAGTCCAAGATTAGTCCTGGTGTAGTCCTGATTTAGACCTGGTTTAAACCTGGTTTAGTCCTGGTTCCGCTACAGATGGAGTTTGCTGCTTTGGCTGGTTCACTCTCTGACTGTCCAATCAACGGGTCTGAATCCGGTGACATCGTACGCCTGTTAGAAGGCCCTGGCGATACCAACTCAAAATCTGATTGGTTGAAGCAACAGTTTCATGGACATTTATTTTGTGTTCGAGGGCCTGCAGAACAGATTGTGAAGGCCTCAGGGACACTTCTTTGACTTTTGCTCTGCCTAGCAACAAGTGATGACTGAAATGAGATTGGTCAAATCCTTTAATATGAAAATGCATGTGTGGAAGCAGCACAACCATCGGAAAAGCTCTGAAAAGAAGCGGACAGACCATTTGGAATTATTTAATAATAATATAATTAACATCAGTCTGTGATTCAGATATATTTTTAGGCCAGCAGAGAAGGCCTTGAAGGCCCTGATGCCCCGCCACTGCTGGTACTTTCCTAACAAGGCTGGTGCCACCTAATGCCTCTGCTCAATTTCATTTCTCTCCAGTGACTAGGTCAGGAATCGGAATTCACTAGACGGTCCTCCAGAACTCCAGAAGTTAAAGCCGGAATAAAGAGAATATTTGGTGAATTTTAACAAGGGGAAAAACGTTATTGCCCTTCTTTGGGAAAAGCTTAATATACCAGTTAGTCCCATTAGCGGCGCTTTACATACGTCACGACCAAATAGCAGCGATTGGTTAAATGAAAAAAAAGTACCCACCTATCGTCAAGCATACCAATTCTAATGCTGCAAGGTCAGATGGTTTCTACAAAGTGAACCCCCCCCATGAATGAAAAGTGCCTGTGCTGTTATGATAACGGGTTTCATTTTGGTTATATTTGCACAGCCTGAATGTGCAGAGAAGGAGCTTGAGAAGTCCTGGTCATGATGATTTTGTGACCCTATTTAATAATAAAACACTGATAAAACATTAAGAAAAAACCCCTGAGCAGATCAGACATGTTAAATCCTGATTGTTTGTACAGCCTGTATCTTTGGCAGAGCTCTCCTCCTCAGTAGGTCCAGGTCTGCAGAAGAGTACTTGAGTCTGGTCTGAGCTCCATGACATTCAGCCTGGATCTGCTTCAGATCGGCTTCTTTCCTCCTCAGTTTCATCAGCTCCTGAGGAAAACATCACACAATGGGGGTTCTGTTACTGTGAGAATTCACTGCACAATCACAAACTGTTAAATTATGACTTAAGCCCAATTTACGTTTGTGCATTAAATCGTCTGCGTTGTGATGCAGATAGTCTGCGTCGACCGACATGCACCTCTGAACTTTTGTAACTACGCGTCGAACCGACGCAGACAATAAGGGCTGTGATTGGTCCTCTCTACATCCGCTCTACGTACACTTCCGGTACTTTCCCGCTTCATTTTGTGTACACGAATGACATTTTTAAATTTAAAGTGTTGTGGCGGTGATTTACTTCGCAGCACATAGACCTCAACACGGATCCATAAATCAAAAATGACAGCGAGAAGGCCACAGAGGCCATGTGTGTTGAGTTGAAGCAGAATTATGAAACGGTTTTTACATCACACCATGCTGTTTGTTAAAGTGCAAGTAGTGATATAGTATCAAACATACATGCTTTAAAGGGATAGTTCGGGTTTTTTGACATGAATCTGTGTGGCATCCCCATGAGCAGTGTCGTGCATCCACACTGACTTACCCCCGAAGCATCTGGTGAGCCGAGATACTGGCCGTTTTCGGTGATGACGAAAGTAATCCGGCAAGTTGGCTGGGGACCTTAAAATAAAGTGTTTTTCTTCTCAAAACAATATGTGTTCAAAAGAGTGATGCATTTGCATCACAAAACTATCGTCCTCAAAAAAGTTAGACCTCATAATGGCTTACGGCACTATTTTCTCTCCGTTCGTATCACTGCGCACTGCCGCCAGGTGTCAGCCTGTTTCACTTTGTTTACTGCTCGGAATGTTAGCGACAACATGTCTGATTACGACACCGACAATAAAGACATTGCCTTTACCACAAAGCCAAGGGGACATCTTTATGAACCCGAATATACTGATATGCTGAAATTTTGAAGTAGAGAGAGAGAAAGAGAAGAGAGACAGAGAAGTGGTACAAGTTGACGTTGGAGCCACAGCTGGAGCCGCGAGAGACCAAGTGAGCGACAATCACCCATCACGTCATTTAGAAACTCGTATACAGCGAACATATAGCCTATACTGTGACTGGAAGCATGGACTACTAATAGAAACATGGAATCATCCACACGTCCACGTAGCTGCTGACAATAGTGTAAGCGACATTTACAATAGTAATAACAGTCGACTTATAAAGCAACGTTTTGTAGAAGCTTCACTGGTGATATGACACTGAGTGATTTGCTACTAATTCTTGAGCCTGTCTGCTTGTAAATATAGCGTCACCTCTTTGTTCTTACCTGGGGTGCATAAGGCAAAAAGCCAAAGTTTCCTCAGCGCAAAGTCCGTGACAGGAAAACGGTGAAATGTACGTGGAGATTCAGCCAGATTTTTGTTGTTACAGCCTGGATAATCAGAGTCTGCACCACTTTTTAAGATATATTCTTAGGTATCTTATACAAGCTTATATACTTATGGCTCTAGCTCTCACGTTAGCTCTCTCGCATCGCGGCGGTCTGCGCATGTGAACACTGCCGAACAACTGAAGAAAGTGATGGATCCGTGGGCGGCTGGCGGCATTGCGCAGTGATACGAACGGAGAGAAAATAGTGCCAAGCGATTATGAGGTCTGACTTTTTTGAGGACGATGGTTTTGTGATGCAAATGTAACACTCTTTTGAACACATATTGTTTTGAGAAGAAAAAGGCTTTATTTTAAGGTCCCCAGCCAACTTGCCGGACTACTTTTCTCAGCACCAAAAACGGCCAGTATCTCGGCTCACCGGATGCTGTCGGGGGTAAGTCAGTGTGGATGCATGACACCGCTCACGGGGATGCCACACAGATTCACGTTAAAAACCCAAACTATCCCTCTAAAATAACAAAGGTGGAAAAGGGGTGCCCAGTTAGATTCCTACTTGGCTCTGCATGTACACATGGTTTACTTTATGCTAAACCAGGGTTGTACTAAAACAATTACAAAATGGACAGCCATGGACAAATGGTCAATACAGTTAGTCAAGTCATTCAGATGGGTGAGTTTGACACATCTTTATTAAGTTTGAAACATTCATTTTAGGTCTGTATCACAGTGCAATGTGATGTTATTGTAGTGGTGCAGGGTTGCAGCTAGTGTAGAATCCTATACAATGGGCATTTCTTGTCATTGACATTTTGGGCCAATTCAGGCAGATTTCTGAGGGCCTACAAAAAATTAGGTGAGTGCCACATTTGGTTCCCAGGACACACTTGGTCTAAACTGTAAATTTCCATCCCTCAGCCCCTGTTTTAACTGTGGTATTATACTCACACTGAGTTCTTTGGTGAGCTGTTCCTTCCTTTCCTTCAGGTTCTTCACTTCAGTCTCGTCCCAGCAGCGAGCTTTACTCCTCAGGTCACTGGAGCCTCCAGAAATCACCCCTGACTTTGCAAACATGGTACCGTCCAGAGCCACCGTCTGAGAGAGAAATATACACATTTGATTTAATTGTCTGAGAAGATAAATAAACTGAGCTGGAGGACAGTTTTCAGAATGCAATGGTGGAATTAGCTGTTTAACTGATTAATTACTGATTTCTTGAGTTGGTTTGTCTCATGATTGTTGTCAGTTGAAAATACAATATTCCATTAGAATAATATGGCAAGTTCGTGGAGCCAATCGAAAACAGTAATTCTCCCATAGAATTATACAGCTGCTTGCCCTTCATCTAAAATATGGAAATATGTTAAACCTTGTGTCTCTCGTATTTGTTAAAGGCCAGGGCTCGAGCCTCTTTGATGGTCTCACAAACCAGAGTGTTCTCACAGACGAACTGCACCACTCTCCGCAGCTGTGGAGCGATGGCTGTGGAGCTCACCTGAGGAAAAGTTTAATAGAAATATAATATTTTTCAGAAGCGGACCCATTTAGAGCATTTAACCATGTTACAGTTGTTTCCTTCTCATTTACCCTCTGAAGTTGTATTTAGAGTGATTCATGCATGTTTGAGTAATCTTTATCTCTAGATCAATCCCCGTTTTCCCCACTACAAGTATACCTACTTCTACTCTTTAATTTTATTTTCTTAATCTAAAATGACTTGTTCCTTTTATCAAGTCATTTTAGATCTATATTTTGTTCTAAATTGTGTCATAGATTATAACTATATAGCAGACACAAGCACAATATGTCTTCTTTAATGTTTCATATTAAGAAACACATGTGTCTCTTAAGGTAAAGAACAGGCTGGAGTAATGTTACTGCCTTATTTACCTGAACCACGTCCACGGCCATTTTGGCTCCAGACAGTTCCCTCAGACGCTCGTTCAGAGGATGCACCTGAAATGAACACACAGAGGGGAAGGTCTCAGAATGATTATATTTACTGTATAGAGGTTATGCAGAAGGCAGCAAAACATTCCACAGACCATTCAAAAAGTGGAAGAGGTGCTACAGTTTAATTACAAATATAAAAGTCTATATCTCCATTAAATATTTAGTCTGTACCTGACATCTAACACAAGCAAATCAAGTCAACAGTAGTTAAAAAAAAAAACAGTGAAGAGCTAAACCACAGGGATACTGCAGATTACATGCACATTTATCACTGATACAGACTTTGGATCAGACATGGTTGAACTGAACCTTTTTCTTCTTAAACAGAATGTTTCTGAGTCTGTGTATTGAGCAGATTAATTGTTGTAGTGTGAGATGAACTGTACTTTCTCTTCCCTACTGTTGGCTAGCTAAACTCTGCACAGTCAGAGCAACAGCAGAGAAACTACTTTCCATTTCCATTTTGCTGTAAAACAGCTCCATAGACAAAAATTAGTTAATAAAAAGCAAACAAACACATTTTGTCTGTTGTGCTGCCCATAGTATCAGGAAACTGCATAATAAGGCCGCTGGCAATTGATGTTGATAATTTCCACAGACATAAAAATATGGTCTGATCCCTAACATCCAGGTTTGAAGTGAATAAAATGTCCTTTGTCCTTTCTTTTTCATTAATGTATGCTGTTAAATTACCAGGCCTATTATGTCTCTATTATAAACACTATATCTTACGTCGAGGTAGTCGATGGGCAGAAAGGTCTCAGGCTCACAGCGCTCCTCTTTAATAAACTGGATGCACTCACGGGCCACGCGCTCAGAGCTCACCACAATGGCATTCAGGAAGCGTCTGAACACTTTAGTTACTGCGAGATGGTACTTCTTATGAATGGGACTGACCAGGTCTGACAGCCGCCCATACTGAGGACCACAACAACAAATTTAAACGTTACATGTACTGTCTTCTGCTGGTTTAAACAGTAAACACAATGCATTTTGCAAGAAGGCACCCGACTGGTATGGTATTAAAACCCCAAGGCCATGCAAAGCTGGTCAAAACAACCATTTTAAGATCAGAATGACGAGTCTGACAGCAACTATATACAGGCCCCCCAACCTACTCTCCCTCTTTCTCTCTCCACATGCCCCGTCTCTCTCTTCCTTCTCTCCCTCTCACCCTGTCACCTTCCTCCTCCTCTCTCCCTAACTCCCTGTCTCTCTCCTCCTCGTCTCTCCTTCTCTCTCTTCATCGGTACCCTCTCTCCTTTCTCTCCTCCGTACCACGGTATCCGGACAGTCTCTGCAGCCTTTCCAGGACCTCCTTCCTCTGGCATTGGCGTTTGTTTTCATGGGTCTCCAGTCGAGCATTGCCCAGTTCCTCCAGCACTGCCCCCAGCATCTCATGAACCTGCTCTGCTCTAGCTTTGCTTGTAAGCAACTCTGAGCTCAGGGATTGCTCCTGCTCCTGGAGGGCATCGATGGAGGATCTGAGAGAGGAAAGAGAAGGAGCAAAGAGAGGAGGAGGGAGGAGAGGGCAGAGAGAGGAGGAGAAGGAGGAGGAGGAAGAGAGGTGTGAGGAGGAGGAGAGGAGGAGTTGATAAAGAGGAGAAAGGAGAGAGAAAGAGAGACCAGAGGAGAGGAAAACATGAGGTACCAGGTTTAGGTGAAGTTTATATCCATCCTCTGACACATCTTTCAATTAAGAGAGACACAAATATAGCCATTCAGTTTTTTTATTTTCTTAAACATCAATAACTTACCATAAAACTATTCTAAATGTCAAACTGATGCTACAGCTTTGTATAAATAAAACGTCAAAACTAAAGAGACATTGGTCATCAAAAGACAGAAAAGAGTTCATATTAATTGGTGTACTACCATCAATACTGCAAGTGCCTAAACCTCAGGAGCAGTGGACCAGATTTAAGCCAGGATCTTGGTCAGGAGTGTTCATATGATGCTGTATTGTTCTATCTGCAGTTTCCCCGATCCTGACCCACATTATGTCTCCCACAGACCATCCACTCTTTTCACATTGGTCTCTTGATTTTCTCCTGGTCTCCTCTCTACTTACAAGCACTTTCATTCACACTCTTTCTCACCTTCTTGGCCACAATGTTTTATTTTGTCAAACATTTTGTCTTAATAGACTAAGAAACACAGCAATGGCTGCACAGCTCTGCACCATCAACCTAATACTTGCCTGACGCGAGGACCAAGGAAGTTGGGTTTGGGCCAAGAATGCAAACTGTACTAATGAGACGTACCTGCAGGTGGCAGTGTACTCCTCCAGTTTCTCAGCTCGGCACATCACATCCTCCAGCTGAGTCTGAAAGTTCCTGATCCCAGCCTGAACACAGCAGAGAAGATAATACCAGACTTTACATTAGTGTTTTCTTTAGATACAATTTTTTTGGGATCCAATCCAATACCAATACTTGTCATTGTTTGCCTCGCCAATACCCATACCAGTCCAATACTGCAGTAGTAGTGTGAAGAAGTAGACTACTCAAGGCTCAAAGTTACTCAATTTTGTTACAGTACAAGAGCAAAAAATAAAAGTCTATCTCTACAGAAAATCAACAATAAATTTGATTTTGAGGACTTAAGTATTTGTCAAATATCCTGATGATGACTTGTGCTGATTTAAAGGGTCAATTATAGTTTACATCTTACTATAACGGGTTAGTTATAAATTATATCAGGGGCATCCAAACTTTTTCCACTGAAGGCTGCAAAAAAATACCAACCAGAGTAAACATTTTTATTTTTTTAGCCCATACAAATTTCAGCTGTCAAGCTTGGAGGCTAGCTAATATTTGCTTAATTTTCTGCTCCAGTTTGGCATCAGTGTAGCACTAACACGATATCATATTACCTTCTTTTATTATATTCTTTCATCACAACAACAATTTCCTCAAAATTTAAGCAAACACATTTCCCATTTACTTCTCTAAAATATAATAAAGAATATTCACTAAATCTGCCTATTCTCAGATGAAATTCCCAGAAGTGGTTCGTTATTGGCCTGAATAGCTGCTACTGTTCACACAGGGAGAAACAAGAGCAAGCCTCAAGTCTCTGGTTTGTAAAGCGGTGATGGTCTCTGAATCAATCCCAGTTAAATATTTATGCTGCACCTCAAAGGTAAAACAGGCCAATTTAGGATTAATCCGGGCCATTGTCTGGACACCCCTGGTTACTATAAAGGGCCACTTTTACTGTAATGTGTGCAAGTGTCTGTAAGTGTTATGGTTTACTGGTGACCTCTGACCTGAACCTCCTTGTGTTTGCGCTGGTCTAAATTCAGTCTCTCCTGGTCAGCCTTGATGTCCCAGTGCAGTTTTTCAGCTTGTTGGTTTAACACTGCGCTCTGACGCCGGTACAGATCCTTCAGCTCCTGGTAACGCTCCAACTGAAGAGAGAAACACGTCAGACACAAACTTTTATTCATATGATCTCTATGGCCCAGCATGGGGGTTGGAGATTTATGTTGTACAGGAACAGACAAAATATAATTAATTATTATAATGTTTGTGATTCATGTTTTAATTTAGATCAGACCAGAGGTTTTTTGTGATTGAGTAATCTTTAATCTCCTGTATTCAAGATGTTATTGCTCAGCTCCCACTGCCACCGGTACACACCGTCTGTAATGTATTTACTTCATTCTCCAGTTTTATTGTCTTAATCTATGAAACATGTAGGATTCGGCAGTGTAACACAGTCATTTAGGCACAAATGAAAAATCTATTGCTCGCTACTTTGATCTGCAGCTATCCATAGGAGGGTTTGTGATGATGTTCAGGGCAACTCTGCAATTTTCCAATGCTGAAGTCAGTTGAACTGTTTCTTTAATTAAGTAATTTTAGATTTATATTGTGAATTAAAATGTCTAAAATATAAAATAATGATCCACAGGTGTCATATATTATAACTATATAGCAGACAAAAGCATAAGATGTCTTCTTTATGCCCGAATCAGTCATATGACAAATTGTTCTTTCAAGTACAATATTTTCTTAATGCTTTAGAGACACAATACTAATCCTACTTTAGTTTAGTGATCTAACCTGCTCCTGGTCCAGTTGTATGTCCCTGGACACTTGCTGCCTCTGGGCCTCTCGGTCATAGGTCCTCCAGGCCTCCTCCAGCTCCTCCACCTCCTGCCTCCCCTCTCTCAGCTCCTGTTTCTTTAGCTCCAGTTGCTCCTCTGCTTTCCTCAGGGCCACTCGTGTCTCCTCTGCCTTCTTCTTATGGTGAGACGAGTTCACTTTGGCCTTTATGTACTGAGAGCGGCACTGGGACAGCACCTGCTCCTGAACTCTGAGAGAAAAACAAACACAAATCTATCTACTTGCCAGCACATAACATATTTAGAGGACCATGTTACCTTTTATTGTTTTGAAAATGCTATATTTGCTATGGTCTTTTTGAGTCTCCCCTCCCTTTGCTCCTTGTGCAAAGTCACTCCCCTTCAGAGCAACATCACGACACAATTAGTGTGCATCACGCTAATGTAACAACTGCACATCACATCAAGTTTATCAAGTTCTTGTGTAGTCGTGATTTGTAGGCTTGTGGGCTAAGTACTGTACAGATTCTCAGCTAACAGCAAGGAGGGTCCAAATAGGGCTCTGGAAAGATTGCAAAATTACTGAAACAAGCATGGACGACATCTAAAACCACTTATTTCATTGGGGAAAAAACATTATAACATGGTGTAAAGCTCAACAAATCAATAATATAATACCCCTCTCTCTAAGTTTATTTGATGGGACAAGTATGTTATCATGAGCTCATATCACACACTATGACATTTTAGCCAAGTATATTTCTCAATGTCTGTCCCTGTCCCTAAACACAATATAAACCCAACACTGTAAAAGAGTGACTGACAATATTTTTGGATGTCACATTACACAATGCGAGGGAATTTAAATCACAAGACACCATTCATTTACAGTGGGTGATGGTGACCCAAAGTCCATTTGAGCAAATATCAGGTTGTGTGGTAAAGTTGTCCTTTCCTCACAATCAGAAATCAGTGCAGTGGACCAAGCAAATATGAAACAGTGGTTTGTCCAAATAGATCAAGACAAAGAAAACAAAGGGTTTATTTACAACACTAAAATAGCTCTCCATAAAAATAACAGTTGTTGTTAAACTGATCCATGACAGACCTTATGTCCTTGTCGATGAGCTGTGTGCCTCTCTGCAGTCGTCCATGCTCTCTCCTCTGGGCTTTCACATTCTGCTCACACTCACTCACCTGTAGGATCAGTATCAGTAAGGATTTATCGATAATAGAGCTACATGACGATAAACCAACTAATCAACGAATTTATCAAGACTAGTCAACTACAAAAAATTATGTTACTAGTCATATTTTGATAATTGTGATCATTATCTGGACTGTACAGACTCAAAACACATATACGACAAGACTTTTTTATGATAAAGCCATGGAGAGGCATTATTAAATCAAAATGTCAAAAAGAATAAACTGTTCCGCCTTTTAATTAATAATACACTTGAAAGTCTTTAGTCTCCATATTTCAACCTTTGTTTAATTAAAAATATGTTTAAAAATCCCCCCCAAACAATAATTGTTTGATTAGTCAACTAATCAGAAATTGAATCACTGACTAGACAATGACTAAATTAATTGTGTGCTGCAACTCTAATCAATATTATGACGCTCATCGATACCAGGTTCAGTACCGTCACTGCTCACCTGGCTCTGCTTCACTGATGCCCCCTGTTGTTTGAGTCTCAGAGCCTCACACAGAGAGTTGATACTCCTCTCACTGTGGAAGAGACTGGTAAGACTGATCTGAAGACGCTGCTCATTTAACTCGTCCAACAGGGACTGGTACTTCTCTGCCTGAAAACAAAAGACACAACACATTTGATCTGCAGTTCCTAGCTTAAATGGAGTCTAATAATCTCTCCCATTATTTAAGTCCCTGCATTTGACTCATTCTTCACTGTCTCTGGGTTAAACCTGCCAGGAGCAGTGGAACCCATCTCCAGATCTTGAGCTAGTCTTGGTCAGGACTTAAGGAGCACTCACACTAGGACTTTAGAACCGTTCCCAAGCACAAATAGCCCCTAAACCGCTGTATGTTTGTCCACTGTGAGCGCAATTGAACCGGGCCCAGGCACGGCATGGTTGGGACTTCAACCTGATTGGAGGTGGACCAAAGCACGGCACGGTTGCTCATGTACGCATACATGCTCAACTTTTACCATATGATCCCTGTCAGGTGTGCTGATGTTACTCATATGATAAAAACAGTAAATATAGTTTGCACTAAAACACACAGTGAGTAACTTCAATAAGGACTGTGGTAGAGACAAAAGTTTTGCAACCTTGTCTCCGGCTGTCCTCACTCCTCCTCCTGTCCTCACTGCTCCACGCTGTTATTATATCCATAAATTCATGAAGGAGTGCGTATTGTAGCAGGACTCATATCTGTGTCACTATTTAATATGATATATCATGCCACTAGACTTCTTTCTCCGCTAAAGTACTAGCTCTGCTGCCCAACATGTAAACAGACAGAGCGTGATGATGTAATCGGGCTATGGCTCGATTCGGTTGTGCAAGTGTGAGCATGGGCCATAGAACCCTACGCAAACGTGCTTGAGCTCGGCACGGCTCTAAAGTCCTAGTGTGAGAGCGGGCTTAGCGGGAAGATTTTACCTATTGTGCATGTTTTGGGTTGGGCGGTAGTTTTCACTTAACAGCTACTGTTTATCTTTTGGTCTGTAGAGATTGGCAATTCCATGGTTGAAATCATCCAAATGATTTTAATGAAGATGTATGGAGTTAAAAACACACTGGTGCACTTCCTGTATTTCCACAAGGTGGCACAGAATGTTTTCACTAAGAGAACTCCCTAAATAGCCTAAATATGCATGGTGTGTTAAACATTTGTGAATGAAACAAAACACAACCTAAGGTATGTTTTTGGTGAGTAAACAACATTATAACATACATCAGAAAATAGCATAATATGGGCCCTTTAAGGTTTTTTCTTTCCAAATTTGTATACATTTATGCATAAATTCAATGGGTAAACACTCTCCCACTCCCAATTTGAACCATTTTAAACAAATCTGTGCCTTTGTCATTTCTTTCTGTGTTTTTTTGTAGTTTTAAACTTTGGCTTCTCTCATATAAATAAAGAGTAAAAGAGGCAGTCTTTAGAATGGCTCTTTCAAATTAACAGATCCAAAAGACTCAGATCCCGTAAAACAGCCGAAAGTCCCATCATTTATGTTATTTAACAAGCCCTCACCTCGAGTTTCTCCTGTGAGACCTGCTTCCTCTCCACCACAGCAGACTTCTTCTTGTTGAAGTGGAACTGTGTGTCCTCTTTAGCGCGAAGCATGGCGGTCTTCTTCTGCTCGTACTCTGAGGCCAGCTCTCTGGACTGACTGATGCTCTCAAACATCTTAGTTCTCTCCTTAGGGTCCTTAAGAGCAATCGACTCCACTGCCCCCTGATCACAAAACACCGCACCACTAGGGTTGTCAAAAATATAGAAAAAACAGATACTAATCGATACTAAAACTTGTATCGAAACTAAATACTTATTTAAGCAGGTACCGATACTAAAAAGTCACTTTGAAAGGACACAAATGAACCTTCCCTGAATAGCTTTAAAATAATCTTGAGCTGTATTCGAGCAAGTATAAGAGCACACAGACTAGCATATGGAACAATTATAAGAGCACATAGACTTTACACACCCATGGACCACTATGGAACCTATCTAGACCACTGAGGGATTACATACATATAAGACCACATGGTGATATAAAAGACAGCACTCTGATTTAATGTTGAAATTCTATTGTCTTTTTTCCTTTTTTTAAAAAAATGAATTATAATCGATGTATTGAGTATCAAGTCTAGTCCTTAGCATGGAAATTGGGTTTGAAATTTTAGTATCATAACACTACACCCCACACAGGCACTAACCATCAAACATAAAAAAAATCATGTTATTTCATTTAGATTGCATTATTTTGTTCTATTAGGACTGCACAATATATACCAATTTCATCAAAATTGCAATTTGAGTCAGAGCAATTATCACATTGCAAAGCCTGTAATTATTTAGATAATAGAAAGAACAACATTTTTATAGAAATATTTAGCTGAAATGCCCCTGTGTGTCAAATGCTGTCCCTGTGTATCAGAAACCCTCTCTGTCTACATTTTTTTTCTCTTTTTTTTACAAAATTGTGCAGCTCTAACTAAAGATTGTAGATCACTGTAGATTTTGAGAGACAGGTACTCAAAGTGGTCAGTATAATAACACTAGACCTTTATCTAAGAAACCATTAAATTTTAAAAACAAAGGAAAACCTGAAAGACGAGGCAGTTCTGGGCTTTGGTGATGATGCCGATCTCCTCCAGCTGTTTCAGGTACTGGCTCAAAGTCACATGGACCTCATTCACCCGGTAAGAAGAAGAATCGCCTGGAAATGTGATATTACAGTGGCAGTGTTTACTTGCACTTCAAAATATGATTATTATCTGATTTCTGTCTGCTATATAGTTATAATCTATGACACCTGTGTGTCATTATGTTATAATTTGCAGATTTTAAATCGCAATATTCATCTAAAATGACTTAATAAAAGAAACAAGTCCACTGACATCTTTGTTAGAAAACTGAGGTGCCTAACAGTTATAATCTGATAGAAATAAATTCTGTTACTGACCAGTGATGGTGCGACTGAAGCATGTCTCCTCCTCTTCCTTGTTGCAATACCTCAGACAAACTGTGGCAGACCTGGACACAGGTTGTCCGATGTGCGCTCCATGGATTAGATCACTCAGGTGCCTCACTCTCAAAGACGATGATCGCTCTCCTATGGCAAAGCTGATGGCATCCATTACATTCGACTTACCTGGAAATAAGAATGTGTGTGACCATGAGACAAATAAACTTAAACTAAACTACATAAATTCAAGTTCTTTTATTGTCCCATTAGTGGAAATTGGTTCTGCAGCCCTCCACATATAAAAATCTATAGTAAGAAAAAAATCTGAGAAAAAATTAGGGGTCTCACACATAGTCTAAAAGAGTTAGCACAAATACAGCAGTTACAGTGCAAATATGCCTCAAAAAGTGCAATAGTGCTCAAAGTGCTAAGTGCCATTAAAGTGCTCAACTTTCAAGTTTTCAACTGTCAGAATAAATGTAGTTCCCAGAGGGCAAAAATTCGGGCAAAGTGTGGTCATGGGAACTTACTATGGCACCCATATGGCACTAGCCTTTCTCTGCACCTGATCTCCTCCTGTCTGAGTCTGCGATGCCCGAGATCTTGCTGGTCACTTTTACCAGACTAGAAGTCTATTTTTGTTTGTCAGGAAGAGACTTCCAAACAATTCAACTATGCAAAATGTTAAAATTGATTCAATAAAAGAACAATAAAACAAAGTTATCATTTCAGAAGAAACATTAACTCAAAGTGTAAATCCTGCTCATTTGAGCAGGTATCGATACTAAAGAAAAGTCACTTTAAGCCAACAGAAATTATCCTTTCTTGAATAGCTTTAGAAATTATTATTATTATCATCGTGGTATCAAAATTGCTATTGAGTATCAGAACTTCTGATACCGGATTCTAAATTCATAACACAATTTCACCTGCATTTCCATAAATAGAAAGGTGCTATCCATTATCTTCAGAGTAAAGGAAAAACTTAGACCACTGCCCTTGCAATTAACAATTCAAACTATAATATAATATTTTCTGAATGGCCTAAACAAGTACTCAAAATGGTGCCCATACCCACTAAACTGAAACTTATTAATACATTTTTATATATATATATGTATATATATATATATATATACATATATATATATATATATATATATATATATATATATATATATATATATATATATTTAGATTGAAAGACGCCTTCAATCAAAACGTACTAAAAGGAAAAAAAAAGTATTTATAGATCTCAAAATTTACCTGTGTTTTACAATTACACTAAAATAACATCGTGGTTTCGCAGGGTGGGCTACGTTGAACTAGAAAGAAGCTAGATTTACTTTTCACTATATACACAAATTATACACGCAACATGACCTTAATTACATCATAAAAAAGAACTATACTTAATTCTGAAGTAATATTTTATGTGATTGCCCTTTCGATGAGTTTAAAATGTCGTTTTGTGACAGAGGAGACGGAGGAGTTGTCGCTGAACTGAGACCGGCGCCATTATAACCCCTGATCAAACTAAACTTTAACTTTACCGGATCCGTTTGTGCCGATGATGCAGCTGAAGCGCAGGAAAGGTCCAATGATCTGCCTCCCTCTCCAAGACTTAAAGTTTTCCACGTCGATCTGTTTGAGATAACCCATTTTAAAGTCTCTTTTTAGCGAAAATCTGGAGAAGAGTGAAAAGTGACGGAGCCGAATGTCCGGAGGAATAGGTCCGAGAAGAGGCGGGAAAAACAGATAGCTACTCTTTAAATTATTTATTTTACATTTTTAGCACAAAAGATTAAAATAGACAGTAATAATAAATGTTGGAACAGTAATTGAATATAACAAATTTAGGAAATTATTCAAACAGTAAATTAACACTGGTATTATAATTTCCATATCAAGTATTCTTATACATTCTAATAAACATAATTACTTTGTTAAGAAATCATGACCAGTCACCAGATCATAAAAGATGAACAGAAGCATTCTGGAGCACTGCAGCATTTTAATTACATGATTAAAAAAGTAAAGACTAAATGCATTTGAACTCTTAGAAACACAAATGTGCAGAGTCCTGCAGTGACCAGATGTCCCAGATGTACACAGGACAGTCCTAGTGTCCATTTCACAGTTTTATTATTACCAGCCACCAAAAAATCGGGGATGTCCCAGTTATTTTCCGGAGGTGTTCCAGTTATTGATTTAGAAAAGAGATTCTTAATCTCAGCAGGTTCCTGGTGTAGTATTTGTGAACTCCTGTGTTCTTATCATTTCTAGGTCATACATTTAAGTTCCTCCTGTTCTGTCTGGACATTCAAACCTTGAGGAAGACTCAGACCTCAAGGCTCACACCTTGAGGAGGACCAGTGGGTTCCCTTGAAGGAGGTTTTGAGGTTAATCTTGGACAATCTGTCTAGATACGCCTTCACCAGCTTGTCCACACACAGATATGTCTGAAACAGGATCACAAAAACCTATCTCAATGTCACAAAACCTGCCTGAAGATGTCTGGGTATCACATAAAAGGTGAATATGAAATTAAAGCTGCACCGCTTAACTTTTCTGGTGGAGGGTAGGCCAACATCTGGAGATGTCATTGCTTCGTGCTTGTTTTGTGGGCACTGCTTTACAGACTAATAGGTCCTTCTTTTGCTTATGGCCTAATAAAACTGTTGAATGAACTGTATTGAGTTTATGCCACTTTTTAGACAAATTTTTATTCTAATTTTGCATATCTTCAAAACCACTACAAAATGTGGCCCACCTATTCTACAGTCCTGCTATGCTTTGAGTCTATATCTCCTCTAGCATGTGGTTTAAAGACAGGTTGGTCTAATATACATGTGTTTTTTAAATGTTGGTGAAGTTTATAATGTTATTTTGTATGCTACATATGTAGAGATAATTGTAAAACTTTTACCTAGCAACCATGATGTAAACAAGGGCCAAAACTTAGCTTAAACTTAAAATAGGAACTATCCCACCAAACCAAGTCAGAATTAAACATTAAAAACATTCACATGTACCTGTACCTCCTCTAGTGTATGATATGCTCCCATGTTGAAGGTTTTTGTCACATTCTCTTTCTGATTGTTGGCTTTCATGTGCGCCCTCTCATGGTCCACCACCTCCTGCAGAAAATCAACATTAACCAAAATATTTTGTCCACTAGGGAGTCCTGGTTTAGTCCTGTGAGCCGTCAGGAAGTCCTGAATGCGTCCTGGTTGAGTCTTGGTTGAGTCATGGTTTAGTCCTGGTAGAGTCCTGGTTGATGAGGTTGTTCAGAGCAGAGGGAGGGACTCATACAGTCGTGGGGAATGTCCAGAAGTCCAGCTGAGAAAGAAACACAACCAGTCATACAAACCCAACCAGGGCAGCAGACTGGGGTCCACTGCTGCTTTCTCATCTGTGTTAGTATATCCTCTCATGATGTGGCAGAAAGCAGACGAGAAAGCAGCAGTGGACTCCAGTCTGCCATACATCTCCATCTCAATGCTACTCACCACTCCTTTGAGGATAGTGAGGGAAAAATCTTAGCCAGAGAAAAAAAAATTGTATAGTTATAGAAGCTATTTTTGTTAGGAAAGACAATCCCTCCTTGTCGTTGAATAGACATTTCAGACATCATCTATCTCCTGTTTACAACTCCATCCTCAAACCTAAATCAAAACAAAGAAAACAATAGTGATAGCTGGGAGGCATGAAAGCTCCCATCAGGGGCCTGAATGATTATGCTAGTATGACTCAGGCACAATCCCCACTTTGTGCAGTTCAAAAGACCTAGCTAACAAACAGAAACTGTAAACAAGTAGGTGTGTAAGTTTCAATGTAGTTACCTCTTCCCTTCAGACAGATGTAAGGCAGTGTCCACCAGCGTCTGACCAGAACTGAAGAAGCAGCCTGGATGAGCTTCAATCAAAAAACTTATGTCCAGTTGACAGAATTGAATTTCTACTTTGCGATGGATCCTACCTGGACTGAGTGATTAGACAAACATCTTTGTGATTTCTTAATTGTGCCAATTGTGATTAATCCTGCAGCTTTATATGTTAAACACATTTTGAAGTGCAACATATTGCTGAAGAGAAGAATAAAATTGTAACCAAACCATAAAGCAGAATTATCCCCCCCAAAAGAATTCTAAATGTACAATATTATAAAAAAATTTAAAAAAAAATTTAAAAAAAGAGCTGCAATAAATAAATGACAGAATACAACACTTAAGTAGTTAACTTATAGCTATAATGACCAGTTGACTTATAATCAAAGTTCATAAGTCTACCTTTTACAGTTCAAATCATATCATAATACAGAAAAATCACCCAAAATGTCAATTTGGTACAAAGAAAAATTATCCATGATAAAATAAAATGATTGTTCCATCTGTCATGTATTGAACAATAGGTCAGTACAGTAATTATGGTGACAGGCCTATCTGTAACAGCCTCAGTACCACTGCAGCTGAACCCGGGTCTCCATTTTGTGTAATTTAAAATAAACACATTTAAACATTATGGTAACATCTTCCTGCGCGGGTCTTCAGGACCTCCAGCTACTCTGTGGTTCTGACTCTCATCCAGATCACCTGGTGTCTGTGTAGAAAACAACAGTCTAAAGAAACTAAACAAAGGCAAGAAACACAGTCCTGACATCTGCCGTTGTGTGTGTCAGATGCCCTACCATAGGTCTTATAATTCCCTCAACCAGTCAGGTCCACCATGGTTTGGGCCTCAGTAGATGTCCCCTGCCACAGTAGCAGTCGTAGCAGTGATGATAGTACTTGCAGTAGTGACAGTCTCATGGCTACAGCCTCTGTGAGGTATAAGTTCAAATGGAACTAGGTTGTGGGGAAAAGAGTAAATGGTCTTTATCTTGATGATGACACAGTTACAGTCAGCCAGGAGAGACAGGACAGAGACAAAGGAGAATCTGTTCAGGACAAACATAATGTAACACTCAATGGGTCAAACATACTCTAACAACCAGTGTGTCCTGTCATTGTGTCCTTGAGCCAGACACTTCACTCTCTTTGCCAATGAACAAATGTGATTGGAATGTTTCCGACAAATGCCACAAGGCAGCTGTGTCTTGATTTAACAATATGAAGAGTGAAAAACCTTAATGAAAAAAGTAAATAGTGTCACACATCCTTTAAAGAGTCCAGCAGGTGGCACTGCTGCACCATACAGACACACTGTGCTTAAATACAGCTGTGTCCTGTGGTCATTTGGTCAAATACTTTATTTCCACAGTTTTTGTCAATACAACTTTTGTGCCAATGAAACTTAAACAAAATGTGGGAGCATGAGGACATATTCAGGCTTTGGTTTAACTAAAGTAAAAATATTTGTCTCACTACTTAAAAGACATTAAAAAAAAACGTTGCATGGCTAATAGAAAAACAGGATACATTTGTTGTTATTTGTCATATTTCTGGTATAAGAATAAAATATATTTGTGAGATGACCATGAACTGAAGCAGTCCCTTTGTAACAGTTTAAGTAACAAACCAAAGGACAAAATGGAGCCGTGGACAAGACCCTAAAACAATGACAATAGAACTCATTGGACACAATAAAACACTTTATTTACACAATCTAAAACATCTTATTTACACTTTTATCTGCTGCATAAGCTCAAAAATGCAGCCATGTTGACCTGGTTTATGGTTAATATCTCTCTAATTACTGGGCCTAACAATAGCTTGAGAAGTGGTGCCATTATTCAACCCCAGAGATGTGTTAAGAGTGTTTCTTTTGAACCTAGATTAGATCAGTTTAAAGCACACTGCACTAATTCTGTCACATCAGCAGGATTTTCTGACCAACCCTCTCATGTGCAGCTCTCCTCTCACGCCATGCTCTATCTCCTTCTCTTTATTTTTTTCTCATGTTCTGTTCCACCCCTTCTTTCGTCTTCTTTTTCCCCTTTCTTTGCCTGCTCTCTTTCTCCAACCTCCCCTCTCCAGTCCTGGACTAAACCAGGACAAATCTCTTACCTCTTATCCCTCTCTTGATCTCTTCCTTCATCTCTTTGTCCCTCTTTTCTACTCCTTCACTCAGCTCTCTGTCTTCTTCTCTTCATCTTTTTCTAATTTTCTGCATCAATTTCTCTCTCACTCTCTCTCTTCCCTCTTCCTCCTCTTTTCTTTCTCCTTCATCTTTTTTACCCCTTTGCTCTTCATCTCTTCTTTTCTCAATCTCTTTGCTCCTTACCCCTATCTTCACCCACCTCCTTTCCATCCTCTCTTCCTTGTCTTGTCTTTCCCTCTCTTCTATGTGCCCACTCAGCACTCTGCTCAGTCCATGTTTTCCTTTGTTCTGTAAATCCACATGAAGCGATAATTATCCAGAAAGAGCACAGCACTTACTCACCTCCAGTTCAGCCCTCTGCAGAGCCACCGTACTATGGATCTCAACTGTGGCCGCTCGCTCCGAAAGTCAGGAATCTCTATTAAACATAAACATTCTGAAAAAAATAAATATATAATATTATACACATGCACGCACGAACACACACACGCACATGCACACACACACACACACACACACATATATGTGTTTCTCACCTTCCATGGTGGTAGGTCTCTCTCACCCTCATCCACCTCGGGTCCTCTACCAGAGACCTGGGAGCCTGAGAGTTCTGCGCAGTATCT